TGGTCATGTTGCGAGAATTAAAAATTTAACTATATAACCTAAGAACACTGCAAACCAATCTTAGCATTAGTTGGCTGTGGTTTTCTTAGGCAATTTTTATGTTCAGTAGTTTGCCACTGCTCTCTAAATTGTTCACCGCGGTTGCATTCAAAACAAAAGTGGTCTGGCTCCAGATACGGTTTGTGAGAATTAGGAAAATGTAGCTATAATCATTAACCCTGTAGCCCTTAGAAAGCTGTTTTTAAAGTTTCTGTTGTCATGTCTTTGGACAGATGACAGCTTTGATACTGGGTGTAACTGCATAATGTGTAGACATGGGAGGTATGGTTTATATTTACCCCAACATTATTTTTGTGGTGAAAATAATGTAGTTTTTAAAATTATTAATTCACTCTCTGTGTACAAGTAACCAAAAATAAATTTAAGAGTCAAAGGGGAAGAAATTAGCTAATTTTTTGCTGTTTGTATTAAGTGATTATTTCCCTTAGTTAGAAATAAACTTTTCTCACATTTTTGAACAACGGATTAACATCCTGGCACACAGGTCGTAACCAATAAGTGCTATATTTTTCTTCTAACTCAAGCAAGTCAAGTCACATTTTTAAATACTCAGTTTGTCTTGTTGACAGGACGTCATTGAAGAAAAAGAGGACTACACAACTGCAGGTCTTCTGCATGGTCTAGGGCTTCGACCCTCTGAATAAACCGATCAAGACTCATCATTTTCTTCAGCTTCTTTTTTTCTAGTTTCTTCAGGTAGAGTTTCACTAAATTATAAAGATGCGTTTTTGGGGTCGAGTTTCTTACACTGCAAAGGGTTAAGTCACAGACAAGAGTAAATAAAAGTTCACAACAATAAATTATGAAAAAAAAAAATTTGGAGCCCTGGAACATGAACTGGGAAACAACTTTTTTAACACTGATTCTGACAAAGGTATGAGCACTGTACCACAATGGCAAACACATCATCATGAACATGATGGCATGCCTGAAAGTCTCTCTCTTTCTAGTCAATTCTTTAGGCATCTGTGCTTTCATTACCACTGCATCTTTAATGTCCTGTGCCTTTAGAGAGATAGGACGTTCTGAGGATTTGGGAAGCAAGGTGTCCACATCACTGCTGAGAATAAGCGAATTATGAGTAAAGACCGGCACAGCCAAGCATGAGAAGCCCCCTAGACGCACACCAAGTCTTGATAACCAACATAGGACTGGTACTAGTAATCACATGACGCTGATGAATATGTTGAGAGGGGAATCTGAACGCCTGTGAAGATAATCTAACTCATAATTTCCTGTATCCACTTGGGCTGAGGACTATCTCTAGATTGGTTGCCCAGAAACGGTAACCTTTCTCGCCGCCTTTTTTTTTATCCAGCTTCTGTTTACTTTCTAAATAATGATTTGGGAAATGAGATGTTTGAGAAAAGCAGTCAACGTAACAAGAAGCGACTGTAACAAGAAGTGACCATAATAGAAACGAAGATATAATTAGAATGGTAGGCACTACACCTGTAAATACATGTACTGAAAAACAAAGATTGAAATGTTTTGGCCACTTGGTCAGAATGAATCCAATGTCACAGGGTGCAAGAGCACGATAATGGAAACATCAAGAGGCAGAGGAAGGACAAGAAGAATATGGATAGATGTTAGCAACCTGCTTACCATGCAGCAAGCTAACAAGCGCGTACTATCCTGGAAACTGATCACTTTGATGCCTAACAGGATTAGGCCGAGAAAGACAACAGACAGACTAGAGTTTCTAGGGAATATATTAATGTGGTATTCCACATGCACATGGGCAAGCACCTCAACATTCAGCAACTGTTTACACTGGCCAGGGTGAGTGCCCTGCTCTGTGATACTACTGCTAACAGCAGACAGAACCACAACGGTGTCAAACTAAGTACCATACAACTGCCTGGTGAAGCTACACAAGCAGCAAACTATCAGCAAACTATTTCACGTAAAAAAATTGCCCGGTAAAACTACAGAGGCAGCAAACTACTTCACGTAAAATAGCCCGGTAAAACTACATAGGCAGCAAACTACTTCACGTAAAATTGCCTGGTAAAACAACGCCAGTCAATAAATGCTCGGGCTTAAAAAATTTTTTTTTAAACATGCACACAACACACAAAGTTAATGTTTTTTTTTTAAAAATGAATTTACACACACAAAAAACATCCAGTTGCAACATAAAACAATTAACCTGCTATCTGGAACAATAGTTGCACAGGTAATTCAAAAAATAGTAATGTCTTCACTTGAACACATGAAAAGTAAAACAAAGATGTCTTAATAGAAAATAACTTATGAGGAGAAGTGATCACTCCCATCAAAAAGCAACAATCTATATTCTTTGGAGAGAAGGGAAAAACTAGAGTGCATTCTGGTAACGGAATCTATATGGGAAGCGAGGCACAGGGAAATCAAGACAAAAGATGCTAGGCAGGCTGTGGTCATGTCCTGGAAGAACATCCGTACCAGAAAATTATTTGTCAGTACATGAGACAGAAGGCTGAGGACCGATGTGATTATTAACCCCATCTGGCATGGACTATATGAAAATACGAAGAAATGCATATGGCCACATACAGACAGGAGAGAGAGTACTAAACCTTTTAAATAGAAAAAAAAAACAAAAGTTCCAGCCTGCAGGCAGAACACCAACCTAAAAAAAAAAAAAAGGCTTTTGTGTTTGCCCTTAAATAGAAAACAAAAGGTGGTTGGCACAATGTCTGAAGATTATAGCCAGGCTGTGATTATCTGCCTCTGCAACGTGGTTAAAAGTCCACCTGTCTTTTCCTGTGCATGCTGAAAAATCGTCCCGTCACTTTTTGCTGAATCAGTAAGCACATATTCAATCAACTAGAATGTGTTAAGCTGAAAAGCACAGATACTGCAGTCCAGTTGTAAACCGAAAAACAATGTGCCAACTGCCTTTATACGCGTTAACATAGAAGAAGAGTAAAAAAAAATAAGTGAACATTTTTGCTGCAAATAAGTCAGACATATTCCACAGGCAGCTTCTTAAAGATCTGTACCTGGTTATTATAAAAATAAATTAGCTGAATACCAAAAAACTGCCTGTTATACCACTTTTTGTGGTGTGGGCAGAGGGTCTTTGAGCCTGAGAATTTACAGCCGCATGGCCAGTGCTGTTGCCACAACTGTGCAGGTGAGAAATTTATTTTGCCCCCGACAGAACAAATCCCCAGCCTTACTGAGGATTCAAACTCGGGTCTCCTGCTCGAGAGCCCAGGGTTCTAAACATTCGGCAAGCCGCTCCTCATTAACACAAAATCATACCGTGAAAAAAAAAATTTTTTTTTAAATTGTAACATTTTCTAAATAATGCAGCAAATACTGACATGTTTACCCTGGCCCAGCGATAATAATAAATCAGATACGACGAAAAACGTAAACAGAACAATAAAATGTTTATAATATCATTAAAATTTCACACACCATTTACTCAAACTACTGACAGGACCTACAAAGCAACTGTGCTACTCTGAGACACTGTCAATAAGGAAACTGGACAAAACGACAACCAACTTTAAAGCTGTAGATAGTAGTTTTTCTGTGCCCTGAGTTGAAACAAAAGATTTGTCAATTCTCATTTAGAGAATCTGTGAACACATGTTCATCCATTTTTGAATCAAAGGAAAATACAAATATCATTACCGATATCAATATATTATATTTCTGACTCATGTGTTATCATTTTATATTTTATTCCATCATTTTTAAACCACGCAAAAAACATTTCTTATACATCTGTATACATCTTTATGTAGTTTCCCTTTCTCTCAAAACAATGAGCCCTTGCAATGAACTAATTCTATGCTAAACAAGAACACTATATATGCTAACAGGTTCAAACAGCTTGGATTTTCTGGAGAAAGCAAATACTGTATAGAGTAAATGACCAATGTATATATAATGCACTGCTTGCTATGTAAGACTATATAAATTGTAACAAGTTTCACCATCACTATTTCAGTGTCTGGCTGAATCACATATTGTTTTAGTGTGTGGCTCCTACCATTCAATGTTTGAATGTTTGGCTGCAGCAATGACGGTTCTATTATTTAGCCACCATAATACACCCTTCTTTTGTTTGGTGGTAGCACTAGCTGTTCTAGTGTTTATCTGTACTAAACATTATTGTAGTGTTTAGTTGTACTACATATTGTTCTAGTGTCTGGTTGTACTACATATTGTTCTAGTATTTGGTAGTAACTTCCTGTGTCCATGAAATAATCTAGTTCCTGACTCTGGAATAATAAAAATCTAATAATTACTTTTCTCCCCCATAACGATTATATTCTCTATAAACTATTAGGCCAACATAGTCCTACTTTACATATAAATCATAACATGCCACTCGTTAAAATATGCAATAATATCGCTTGAGATTCACAGCAGGTAACTTCTGTACATGATAAACAGTAGAAATAAAAATAATACACTAGTCTTGTATGATTTGTACAAGCAAACAAAATGATGCAAGAGACATGTGACTGCAATTAAAGCATGGCCTTTCAAAAACATACACTAACATTATTATTGCATGCTTGAAAAGCAGTGCTTTATGATACATTTTAAAAAAAAATGAATTTTGCAAAAGCTATGCAACTTTTTAAACTTCATATGCCATTTCTGATAAATGCTAAATGTTTTCAATGCAAATAATTATACAAACCAACTAGCAAGAGGGCTTTTCAAAATGAAACATATATCATGTGGTTCTCTTGATTTTTGTGAGGTTCTTATAAAAACCACATTTTGTACATACTGGCACAGACTTGTTACAAACAGTAACGTTTTTACTGTAAAAACTTGATTTGTTCTTAATTGTTATTCCTCATTCACATCTCCATAACAGCTACAACAACAAATTCAGAAAACACAATTACTGTCCTTCTCTAAGACCTAGCTTACAAACATAAACCGTTAACACTGTTGCTGACATTTCAGACACAAGTAGTTTAATTATCTTCAAGATCAATAGGCTCCTCGGGCTTGTTGCTGAGTGGGGCGTTATTCAAAGCCTGGCCCAGCAAAGACATGGAAGCTGAAGGCATCATGCCTAAGTGGCCAGCACCCTGAAATACAGCAGGCAATTCACAATGACTGGCAAGCAAACAAATCTTACGGTGACTGGAAAGTGTACATAGTGGGCTTGCGCGCATGTGTGAGGTGTTTGTGGTGTTTGTGTGTGTGTGTACAGGCATGTATGTGGGGTGTGCACATACCACTCATGCTTTTATGCATTTTACTAGAGATTCTTATATGTATATTGTCATATGAACATAACATGCCTAGAGTGCTAGCTGGGTAACTACCCCTATGAAACTGTTCATTATCTCTTTTGAGTGCCCGAAACTCAGCAAGACCAGACCAGACATGTGGAACACTTTGTAAGGAGGAAAAGAAAAGCTTGTGAAAACATGTAAATTCCACTATATGGCACTGGGTCCAAGCTCATGCGTCGTTGGATCAATAACAACAACAACAATCTCTCTAGCTGTCAGAAACTTCCGCATCTTATTGAGCACAGTTTTAGCTATTCCTATTCTCTTTTTGATTTCTGTTTCGCTTCCTCCATCATCTGTTACTACAAGTCCTAGATAGGAAAACCTGTTACTTGTTCTAATAGCTCTCCATTTACTGTGATGTCCACTTACAGCTGCCCCATTTCATTGTTAATTACCATCGTTTTTGTTGTTGGAATATTAATGTCTAAACCATATTCTGCACTCCGCCTGGTGACTTGATCCACTAGTTCTTGTAACTCCTCTTCACTTTCTGCTAGTAAGTTGAACGGCTTGGGGATAACACACATCCCTGATGTACTTCTCCTCTTATCTCTATCTGTGGTGAGGTCATGTTTTTGTCTAACTGTTGCTATTTGCTCCCAGTATAGGCTACTAATAATTCTGATATCCCTTCCATCTAATCCTATATTTTGGAGGCATGCAATTAGCTTGTCATGTTGCACCCTGTTAAAGGCTTTCTTGTAATCTAAGAAATATGCATAAATACTTTTCTAGACTTCTATATATTTTTCAGTCAGCATCTTTAAACAAATTATGGCTTCCTTAGTGCCACAATTTTTCCTAAATCCAAAACTGTTCCTCAGACACTTCATTATTTATTTTACTTTGAATTCTTTTTTGAATGATCTGGAGAAGTATTTTAGTTATATGGCTCATCAAACTAATTGTTCTATAATCTTTACACTCAAGAGCTTTTGAATTTTCGGGCGTGTGATGAAAATAGGTTTTGAAATCCTTTGGACTGTAACCAGTATTATAAATATCATTACACATTTCAGGGATGCTACAGACACCAATGCTGGATAGTGATTTTATCATATCTGTTGTTATTTTGTCAGGACCTGCAGCTTTTCCATGCTTCATATTTATAATAACCTTTTCCATTTCAGCTTGTAAAATGTTTGGTCCATCGTGAAGATTAAACAGTTGTGATTTGGTGCCTCTGTTATCCCAAAATATGTCCTCTGTCTATTCACCTTGTGATATCATTCTAATCAACTAAAACTACTCCATCTTTTCCTCTGATGCACCCATTTCCTGTAAAATTTTCTCTCCTGTTTGTGGGTTTTCTTTTGTTTTTATGCACTTCTTTTCTGTTATGTTTACTTTCCAGATTCCTCTATTTCTTTACATTTCAAAGCCATCTAATCTTCTGTTTCTCAATGAATTTGCTGCATGGTGATGTTTTTACAGTTGGCAGCTTTACTTAAGCATTTCATTTCAAAGGTGGTAGTTTTACACAGATGAGCTTTTGATAATCTCCAAATCTGTCACTGGTAGCACAGAGCTGGTATGAATATATAATGTTTATAATCTGTTTCTTGGTGCTCAAACTTATTATTGGATGTCTTAATAAGTGTGTCAGTTGGTATGTAAGTCCACTGGTTCGTTGGCATCTTGTTTCTATTTACTGTATTTCTAAGAATTTATAGCTATACTTATTGAAGACTAAAAAATCAACTATTTTCAAGAAACTAAATTAGGATGATCTTCACACTAAAGTAATAAAATGGTTGCTGTAACTTTCAACACAACTTGTATTTTTCTTGGATGGTTATTTCTATAAAATCCTGAATAACAATCTAATAACTGCAGTATGTCCATGTCATGAATCCAACAGAACAAACATGAAACTCTTACCATGAGCATTGACTGCTGCATCGCTCGCAGCCTCTGGATCTGCATCCAGGGTGCCATGTTCTGCATGGCCTGTAGTGACTGTGCATGCGTCATCCCACTCTGCTGAGCCTGCTGTTTGATCATATTCAAGTAATTCATTTCCTGCAATCTCAGCAACTCCATCTGAAATTTTGGAAGAGAATAGCCGGTGAACATTTTGTTTTAACAATAAAAGGAAGAAGAAAATGATATGTAATGTCCAAACATGTTCCCATATGTACAAACAATCTTTACAGATGTATAGTCAGCAGATTCATCATCGCCATGTGTTGTGTAGTAATATGTCTAATAAATCTCACAATTTATTCCTTTACTCCATCTTACCCTGTGCAATCCTTTTAATATAATTTCCAAAATCCATTTGTTTCCTATTTCAAAGCCTGTTTTGTGATTCTCCGCTCACTTTTTTTCAGGATGTGCTGAGAACACAGAGTTATAATCTTTGTCTCATGACTGTTGAAACCAGTGGCTGTCAAGGCATTTCTCTGTTTTCTTACCTTTCTTGAATTGCTCCCATTTACTGTTTTCTTATCTTTCTTGAATTGCTCCCATTTACTGTTTTCTTATCTTTCTTGAATTGCTCCCATTTACTGTTTTCTTATCTTTCTTGAATTGCTCCCATTTACTGTTTTCTTATCTTTCTTGAATTGCTCCCATTTACTGTTTTCTTATCTTTCTTGAATTGCTCCCATTTACTGTTTTCTTAACTTTCTTGAATTGCTCCCATTTACTGTTTCCTCGAGAACGTTTTTCATCAGCGGATTGGTGAGAAGTTAATATGGAAGCTGCACAGATGTTGTTTTTTACACAAGGATGGTGAGAACCCATGGACAAATACAAATGTAATGCAGGTTGTTTTATCGAAGCAACAGAAATGAAATGGCTGCTAACTGCAAATCCTAAATATAACTGGAAAAGACACGATCAGAAATGAAGATATCAGGAGAGAAGTTTGCCTGGAACCAGTACTAAACTACATCAAGAGACAATAGATCAAATGGTTTGGACATGTGTCAATACCACCAGAGAGTGCATCACAGGAGCCCTGTGTCACTCAGACACTCTTGAAGCAGTTCTAGAGGTCAACTACACAAGCGATGGATGGATGAAATATCTGAGGTCGTAAATACCAGATTCTATGAAGCGCATACCAAGGCTCAAACCTGATGCCTTTTCAAAACCTGATGCTGACATGTAAAAGGGGGATTAGGGAAGAAGATGTTCTGAAAAACATAAACTCACAAAGAGAACAATACTGGCATCACAAGCAGATAATCCACTTTCTTGCACAGGCGGGAGGAACTGGAGTGCATTACGGAAGGTTTGAAGGAAGCAGAGGCAGGAAGACCAAGAAAGAAGATAATGGACAGCTTGGCATAACGGAGTGGAAAAACAACTGCATCATAAATGACCGGCAGTTTATGAGGCAAGTCTGTGAACAGACATGATGACCGGCAGTTTATGAGGCAAGTCTGTGAACAGACATGATGACCAGCAGTTTATGAGGCAAGTCTGTGAACAGACATGATGACCAGCAGTTTATGAGGCAAGTCTGTGAACAGACATGATGACCGGCAGTTTATGAGGCAAGTCTGTGAACAGACATGATGACCAGCAGTTTATGAGGCAAGTCTGTGAACAGACATGATGACCGGCAGTTTATGAGGCAAGTCTGTGAACAGACATGATGACCAGCAGTTTATGAGGCAAGTCTGTGAACAGACATGATGACAAACGGCATAAAAACAATATGTATAACACTGAATCTTCATTACACAGGGACTACTACATGTGTTAAATATTCCTACACATATGAAAGGAAGTAACAGATACCAAATTAAGAACAAAAGAATGTGACTGTAAACAAAGAAATAATATTATAAGACAAAGGAGATGGCCCTATAATGGACACAAAAGAAAAAGCCAACACAGAATTGCAGGCACAAAAATGGGGGGGGGGGGGGGGGGGGGGTGGGCCTGAAGAAATGAGGACATTGAAAAGAAACCCTAAAACAAATGTTGATGAGAGAAACCATGGGTGCCGACTTATTCCATCCATGGTATTAAAAGGATTGCACAGGATAAAATGGAATGGAGGAATAGACTGTGAGACCTATGACATACAATGGCACAACAGGATGATAATGATGAAACAAAAATAGCAAGAACAACAACAACACACAAAAAACGGGTTAGAAAGAACTACTTGCTAAAATACAAACTTCAAATGAGGGGCTTTCTACAATGTTGTGGCACTAGTTCCACTCAACAAGACTGTTATACAAGCAAACAATTTAACAGAAAACAGAAAAAATACACAAATCAGCAAACAATATTACTACAATACTAACCCTTCTCATCTCCTCCTGTTTGATCTGGACTTGTCTCCTCAGTGCTTGTTGCAAATGTAGGTGAAACAGATCTTCAGAAACATCAGGTAGCTGAAATAAATAATACTCATTCTTATTATTTCTTCCACTTCAATATCTTACCATATGCAAGCATAAATTACCGTGTAATACATTATATAAAAAGGTGGCTCAAACTATTATATTCAAATAGTAACAATTTTTTTTTTTTGAAAATATGTTTTGTGGTTTCCTTAACCATTTCACTCTGAAAATGCAAGTGGGAAAAAAAGGGTCATGAATAAGGTAATTCCCAAAAGAAATTGCGGAAAAAAGCAATTTAAAAAAAAAATATGAATCTATAAATATAACGGTCCACCATAAAATAGGAAGGAGAGTAATCTTTTTTCGTTCTTCCAGGTAATGTAATTGCATTGTGCCTGTTTACAGCATAGCTGCACCTTTCGGCCATCACATCTGACTTTATTAGGCATTTGTTGACCAGCTGAACTTCCCAGTGGAAGGAGAGTAATCAATATACATGAAAGGAGTGAAGAATTCACTGTCGTTTATTTCCCTGAACGAAAATGTATCGGATGACCCATACTGTGACCCAAGTGATTTCATCAGAATTAAAACACTAAGGCTATATGAGCAAATGTATGCCATCAAAATGGTGTTAAAACAGCCATTTTGTCCACGAGAAAATCCCCTGAAAGCTTTTTTTTTTTAAAGTAAATATATTCCTATAATGACCTCCTAACGGGTTAACACGCAACCTTATCAGCTTCACTGTACATGTATTTCTTCTTAACTCTGCTATTTTATATTCTTGGTTTCAGACCTCCACTGAGGTGTCAAAAACTTTCAGTTTTTAAAATAATCATTGTTTTAATGATGTATCCTTGATAAAAACAAGTCATCTTAATATTCATGGTACTGTCATAGATTAGGCAAAAAAGTCACAGGAGAGATAACTCACAACACTGACAAACTTGACAATTTGTTTCATGTTAAATCTACAAGCATGGTGTCATTTGTCATTATTTCTTCCTAGCAATGAAAATAATAAATTTATCAGATTTACTTTTTACTTGAATAAAAAAAAATAAAAACACAGTAACAGATCTTTTTTTATGCCTCAAGACCCACCAAGTGCTGGCCTCAAATTTTAAAGAACATAATCAGCAACTGGTGTTGTCAATACTGTGCCATACCACTTCTACTTCTCAGGACATTTCCTAGTACCCATATAAGGCTGGGTCAGCCTCAGAACCCAGGTAATTTTGACATAAACTGGAGCCCATGACTGCCAGGCCAGCATATCAGCATGCTGATATTAGTCAACCTTTCCTACTAAAAAGTCAATTGTGTGTGTGTGTGTGTGTGTGCACGCACGCATGAGTGTGGGGGAAGGGGGAGATAATTACTGCCCATATTTACTACTTCTGCAGTGTAGGCAGGGCAAGGGGAGGTAATCTTTTAGCCTATGGATGGGAGAGCTGCCTGGTTAGTGCTGTGGCCACAGACTGTGCAGGTTAGGATTATAATTTTTGCATTGAAAAGAAAAAAATACCCAACCATACCAAGGATTATCATGAGAGCTGTGCATTCTCAACCGTTCTGCCAGTCGCTCCTAAAAAAAAGTCATAAACAAAGAACTAACACATCAAGGTGCCTGCGACACACCACCACAGGTTTGCTGTGTCCCATACCTGCTGCCTTAGTGCCTGCACTGTGGCTGTAATCTGCTCTCTGCTCAAGATCTGGGCGGCTGCCATCATTGGCCAGCTGGCCGTCCTCTCCATACCTGGACCTGATACAGAGAAACAACAATGGTCTCAATCAAATGGCACAATCACTGTGAGAGTTCTGCTGCCCCATTATGAACAGACCCACTGCCTCTCTAACAAGCATGCCATAGGAGACAACTAATTAGGAGTTTCCTTTGAAGTTTGGAGTGCATCTGCCTGAGAGGCCAGAAACCAACAGTCTGCATAGAAAAAAAGCCAGATCTGTAAAATGGATGTACATGTTAAACTCAAGTTTTCAAACAAGGCTAAAGTCCAGAGGTAGATGACCAATCAGAACTTTCTGCCAGAGTTTACAACCCATGAATACAAAGAAGAAGAAATGGCAATAAGACAGGCAGTTGTTCTTATGCCTATAAGATTTAATTTACCTGCCAGAATAACAAGATGAGACATACAATTAAAATTGAAGACATTATTAGAACTGAAAACAGCTGAAGTTTATTAAAAAGCAACATACAAGTAGATTTGGCCATCTGGTACCGGCTGCCACAGATAATAAACCCAGAGTAAAGGTAAAACCATGCGGACGATGGAACAATCAATAACAGTCTTAAAGAAATGAAGACTAACTTATACAATGCATTGGAAAGAGCACAAAGAAGATCCTAAACCCCTTCCCCCTCTTTTCCCCCACACTTCAGTCCAGTAACTGGAGGAAATGAAGAAGAAGAAGAAGTAACATTAAATACTGGGAGCATGGAATCTACAAAATTAGATTACTTAATTTAAAAAATGGAGTGACCATGTCGCACTTGCTAGCACTTCTGGGGGGAAAGAAGAAGGCAAGAGAGCAAGAGAAAGACAATAATTTAAATGGGAGAAGAACACCAAAAGAACAGAAACAGAAAAGATGCCTGCATTTTCATATTACGAGCCAGCAATGCTGGGATTCATAAGCCAAAGCTTTTGTTCATTTAAAGATCATCTTTGTCACACACATGACCATAACTGCTCCGATTTTATCCTGAGTATGTTTCAAAGAGAAACTTTGTGAAGACACAAAGCAATCTGAGATTTAAACCTTGTGAAGATACAAAGCAATCTGACACTTTAAACCTTGCAAAGACACAAAGCAATTCAACACTTTAAACCTTGTGAAGACACAAAGCAATCCGACACTTTAAACTAGGGCTGTACCGAATAGTGATTTTCACTATTCGGCCAAATACGAATAGCGGGACCAACTATTCGGCCAAATACGAATAGTGTAAAGTGTATAAAATATATCTTTTAAAAAAAACACATTTATAATGTCAAATGTACTCTGAACTTTTACTTCAAATAAAGTAGCACAGAATAGACATCTTCTTCTTTAGCATTCTGAGCCCTTGAGGTTTACTGCTGCAGATATCACTCGTCTCTATTCATCTCTCTGGCTGGCCTTCTCTTCACAATTTGTGACACCTGTTGTTTGCAGGTCTGGCTGGACATTATCTCACAAACTTCTTTTTTGTCTGTCTCGTGGTCTACGCCCATTCTTCTCTCAGGTGTATACAGTTTTTATTTCTCTGTCATCTGACATTCTTTCAATATGCCTCAACCATTTTAGTCTGTTAGCTCTCATGATGCCAGTGATCAATGGTGATTTAAACAGATTATGTGTACGAATACTAACTAGACATGCCAGTGATCAATGGTGATTTAAACAGATTATGTGTTACGTTGTTGTTTCTTACTCTCCCATCCCCGCTGTTAGCATCTTTGATGCGTCCAAAGATTTGTTGTAAGACTGTTTTCGAAAACCTGAAATAAGGCCTCATCTCTTTTATTTCTGCTTCAAGTTTCACAGCCATATAAAACGACTAGTCTTTTCAACGTTTTATATTTTTTATCTTGGTGTTGCGAGACAGACACTTTGATTTTAGTAGATGTTGAAGGGCATAGTACACTTTATTGTACAATTTATACATTAGATTGTATTCTAGATTGTATTTCTTCTCTCAGCATGTTGGAACAGTTGAAGTTCGCAACCCAAGTATTTATATGTTTCCGTTCGTTTGATTTTCATATTATCAATCTGTATGTGGCCGAATTTTATATTCTTTCCATGTCTAGTTAGTATTCGTACAGAATAGCAAACATTTAAAAACATTTTATGTTCTGCATCCTTCAGTCAGTCTGTGGTAACTAATAACTAGGATTGAAAGAATCCTAAGTATTATAACAAGTAACTAAACTTGGAAATTGTCACTGACAGCTTAGTTAATGCAGGAAAGCTGCATTAGCTTTCAACAAAACCAATCGTTCCATGTTGTCAGTATTAAGGCTGTGTATGCAGAAGCGGATGTAAGGTAACTACTATTCGTATTCGGCCCGACCGCAACTATTCGGCCGAATACCGAATAGTCAATAGGTCCACTATTCGGCCCCGAAGCGAATACGAAACGAATATTCGGTACAGCCCTACTTTAAACCTTGTGAAGACACAAAGCAATCTGACACTTTAAACCTTGTAAAGACACAAAGCAATCTGACATTTAAACCTTGTGAAGATAAAAAGCAATCCGACACTTTAAACCTTGCGAAGACACAAATCAATCTGACACTTTAAACCTTGTGAAGACACAAGGCAATTTGACACTTTAAACCTTGTGAAGACACAAAGCAATCTGACACTTTAAACCTTGTGAAGACACAAAGCAATCTGACACTTTAAACCTTGTGAAGACACAAAGCAATCTGACACTTTAAACCCTGTGAAGACACAAAGCAATCTGACACTTTAAACCCTGTGAAGACACAAAGCAATTTGACACTTTAAACCCTGTGAAGACACAAAGTAATCTGACACTTTAAACCTTGTGAAGACACAAAGCAATCTGACACTTTAAACCTTGTGAAGACACAAAGTAATCTGACACTTTAAACCTTGTGAAGACACAAAGCAATCTGACACTTTAAACCAGCGTTACATACCTCTGATAATGATACCCTTCTTTTCATTCTCATACTCCTCCCAGGCTGCCTTTTTCTCTTCCTCTGTTAAAGTCTGTTCCACCTGGTTCTCCAACAAGGAGTCGTGTTCATGGAAGGCAAACACACAGTGCTTGTTGGTCGTTAGGACTTCAGCTAACAGTGGGTCCTATAGGAGAAAATAAATGAAACTTCAGAAGGACTGGTTTTGGTTGGTATTTGTCTTGTCAAGGTATAAAGCAATAACAACTAAACAACATTGAGTTGTGAGCCAACTTTACAGTTTACAAAAGGTGATAATAATCATACTAAAAAAATTAATATACTGTCTACAGAACCGACTAAGTGCAGCAACTATATAGACAACTGAGTCACCAGAAGAGTCTGATAGTATAAACAGGCTAGATGTCCCAGAGTCACTAGAGGAAGACAATAGTATAAACACAGTCTATATGCTCTAGTCACTAGAGGAAGATAATAGTATAAACACAGTCTATATGTTCTAGAGTCACTAGAGGAAGATAATAGTATAAACACAGTCTATATGTTCTAGAATCACTAGAGGAAGATAATAGTATAAACACAGTCTCTATGTTCCAGAGTCACTAGAGGAAGATAATAGTATAAACACAGTCTCTATGTTCCAGAGTCACTAGAGGAAGATAATAGTATAAACATAGTCTATATGTTCCAGAGTCACTAGAGGAAAATAACAGTATAAACATAGTCTATATGTTCCAGAGTCACTAGAGGAAGATAATAGTATACACAGTCTATATGTTCTAGAGTCACTAGAGGAAAATAATAGTATAAACACAGTCTATATGTTCTAGAGTCACTAGAGGAAAATAATAGTATAAACATAGTCTATATGTTCTAGAGTCACTAGAGGAAAATAATAGTATAAACATAGTCTATATGTTCTAGAGTCACTAGAGGAAAATAATAGTATAAACATAGTCTATATGTTCCAGAGTCACTAGAGGAAGATAATAGTATAAACATAGTCTATATGTTCTAGAGTCACTAGAGGAAGATAATAGTATAAACATAGTCTATATGTTCCAGAGTCACTAGAGGTAGATAAAAGTATAAACATTCTTTACATAATAGAGTCACTAGAGGAATATAATAGTATAAACATAGTCTATATGTTCCAGAGTCACTAGAGGAAAATAATAGTATAAACATAGTCTATATGTTCTAGAGTCACTAGAGGAAGATAATAGTATAAACACAGTCTATATGTTCTAGAGTCACTAGAGGAAGATAATAGTATAAACACAGTCTATATGTTCTAGAGTCACTAGAGGAAGATAATAGTATAAACATAGTCTATATGTTCCAGAGTCACTAGAGGAAAATAATAGTATAAACAAGGTCTATATGTTCTAGAGTCACTAGAGGAAAATAATAGTATAAACATAATCTATATGTTCCAGAGTCACTAGAGGTAGATAAAAGTATAAACATTCTTTACATAATAGAGTCACTAGAGGAATATAATAGTATAGTTTACAAATGTGTCATTAAATGAACAAATTGTATAAATATAGTCTATAAATTATTCACTAGAGAAACTTAACAGTATTAACATAGTCTATACATGTCAGTCCCTAGAAGGAACATTACAGCATAACACAGCCAATAAATATTGGTCACTAAAGATAACAGTATATAGTCTAAACATAACAGTATAAATATACTCTAGAAATCTCTGTCACCAGAGGAACATAACAGTATAAAGACAAAAAATCTCAGTCACAGGACGAATACAACATAATCCATAAATATGATACATAACAGTAAAAAGAAAGTCAAAAATTGTTTGCTTATCAACAATATACACAACAGAACAAACAGTAAAGACTATTATAATGCCCTTTGCAGTTTTACAAAAATCTCATGCAGTAAATTTTAGCCTGCAGAACTGCTCAGAAATGTCACAAATGATCTCTATACCTTGGGCAGTGCCAGCGTTGGCTTTTCAGTTCCATCATCCCACCTATCAGGCCGGAAGTTGTAGAGCTCCTTGAGATCATTGGCAGAGAAATGTCTCTCAATCTGATGTTCATCTACTACACGCTGGGACAGTGACAGTTTGGTCACCTGTCGCTCATAGATCTTCTCTTCCATTGTACCCTACACAGCGCCAAAGAAATACATTAAACATGTGCAATAGCTTCTACAAATCTCTATTTAGTGGTATACAATTTTTAAAAATTACACTAAAATAAGGCATCAGGTGTTGATGGAATATCAGCCGAGGCAATACAGGCTTGTGGAGAAATTGGAGTCACCTGGCTACTCCACATATTTAGGAAAGCCTGGAATGAAAGAACTGTACCAATAGACTGGCAAAGAGCCCTTATAGTCCCAATTTGGAAAAGAAAAGGCAATAAGCAAGATTGTAACAATTACAGAGGCATCTCCCTTCTAAGCCACGTAGGAAAAATGTTTGCCAAAATTCTGGAACAACGAATTAGATCCGTTGTAGAACCGATCCTGAGCCCATCACAGGTCGGATTTAGGAAAGGAAGAGGGTGTACTGACGCTATTTTTGCTTTAAGACAAGTTAGCGAAAAGACAATAGAACACAGACATCAAATGAACATCGCTTTCATAGATCAAGAAAAAGATTTCGATAGAGTAAACAGAAATTTATTATGGAAAGTTCTTGAAAATTACGGTATAAATGGAACAATTTTAGATTGTGTTAGGGCTATTTATAGACAAAGTGAAAGCGCCATTAGAACAAGAGCTGGCATCACAGACTAGTTCCCAGTAACATCAGGAGTAAGACAAGGTTGTGTATTTTCACCTTTACTTTTCATAATATTTATGGACAATATTAATAAAATAGACATAACACCAACAGATGTCGATAAACAGGAGGACTTCAAAGAGCTGCTCTTTGCCGACGATCAATGATAGTAAACAGCTGCAAGACCACATAAACCTACTACTTCCTCCGAAGTCGGAGTACATCTGCCGGAGAGGCGGGGAACGAGAACTGCAAACAAATAAGCCAGTAAAACGGATGTACACGCAAAACTCAGGTCAAGGTAAAAGTCAAAAGTCCATTTTGGACGAACAACCGTGACTTACCGCCGGAATTCACAGCCGGTGAACAAGAAGAAGAAGAAGAAGAAACCTACTACACGACAGTTGCCTCAAGCATCATATGAAGATCAATACTGAAAAGACAGAAGTCATGAGCATAAGTAGAGAGCAACAGACCATCGACATAAAGATTCTAGATCACAGCCTAAAACAAGTGCAAGAATTTAAATACTTGGGAAGTATCTTTACATCCAATGGTAAAATAGACAGAGAGATCAAAGCAAGAATCCAACAAGCCAACAATGTCGCATACCAGCTTGCCCCAATTTTAAAACACCCTGCTGTCCCAGCTGAGATAAAAAGACAAATTATAAATACAATCTTTATACCGACATTAGGTTATCAATGTCAGACTTGGACATAAACAAAAGAACACGAGAGAAGACTAACCACCTGTGAAATGAGATGTTTGAGAATGGCTGCGAATAAAACCAGAAGAGATCGAGTGAGAAACGATGTGACTACAAGAACTATTGGAACCATACCCATCGTTAAATTTATTGAGAAGCAAAGAATGAAATGGTTTGGTCACCTAATGAGAATGGAACCAACGATGCCAGCATCAAGAGCATACAACATGAAAATCAAAACACAAAGAGGCAGGGGAAGACCAAGAAGAATATGGATTGAAGGAGTCACGGACAACTTGAGACTTCATAACATCACGGCATATGAAGCGACTGAGCGCGCCCTGGCTCGGTTGCCGATCATCTGATAGACTGCGACGCCTAGCTGCACAAGCAGATTTTGACAAAAGAAGAAGACACTAAAATAGCACCCTTGATTGGTTTTTCTAAAACCAACACTGTGCTACCAGTGGATATTAACAACAACAGAAAAAATGAAACAAAAGAAATGAAATGTCAACAACAAATCCTATATTCAACAAAAGGAGACAGGATCAGAAACAACATCAAGAAACAAATGAGGACTGGGTTAGTTCTGAACCACATCAAGAGACAGCAGATTAAATGATTTTGACATGCATCAAGACCACTACAGGACAGCACATCATGGACAGTCATGTCACTAAGACACAAAGCAAGCATACTAGAGGCTGCCGGTGAAAATTATGGATAGAGGGAATACCTGAGGCCATGAATACCTGCAGCTATGTAGTACCCACACAAGGATAACAACAGATGGCATTTCTGAGGTCATGAATATGTATACACATGAAAAGATTGCACCTGAATATGAAAGGCAGAACTAGGTAAAGAGAAACAAAAACAAGAATTTTATTTCATCAAGTATCACTGTTATTTGTTTCCATTTACCGGCTGTCCTGATTTTAAAAGTTAGAACTTGATCTTTCAGAAAATGTGATGGTATCAGTAAAATGTTAAACCAAACAACGTTGAACCATCTATTGTCAAACATTAGCTGGGATGGAGTGGCTGTGAGGTAATGAAGTCCTATTCATGTTTACATGTTCTTCTTGTTCACTTCCTCTTTTACCACTTAGGGTATCAAAGGAGATATTAATTTTGCTTCCTGCTCTTCTGGTTGCCTCAATCACAGAAACATCATACTGTTGTATAGTTCCTCTGATGTTATCTTTTCACCTGGTTCTTGGTCTACCTCAAGCTCTAAGTCCCTCTTTTCTTTTGATGTATGCCTTGTATTGTTAGGTATCACAAGGCATACTCTCTAAGTAAGCAAACAATTGTTGCTGTCTTTGTATGTTTAGCATTGGTTCTGAGCCAACTTTTACTTTTATGACTTTATTGTTGATTTTATCCTGTCTGGTAACTCATGCAGCCCTTCTCAGAATCTCATTTCCATGGTTACCAATCATGTTCTAGTTTGTTGTGAATAACCATGTCTGGCACCAGTAGCACACGGTGGGAATGAATATGCTCTGTATTAGAAGTTTGTGTTTGTGCTGATTTTCTTATGGTGTAAGGGGATATGTGTGGTCATGAGGCATAGTGTCCGCCTCAAGTGCTAGAGGTTCCGAGTTCAATCCCCGGTAAGAGCTGAGATTTTTTCAGGTGGACTTGGACTTCTAGTATTTCCCCTGGTCTCTGGTTAGTGAGATCGGATGCCCGTGTGCATTGTTGCGCACGTGAAAAAAAAACTCCCCTGGCAGTTGGATATCAAAAAGAGTAGTCTAATGGCGCTGCCCGGGCAAAATTTGGAGTTAAAATCTACCCAAAATATTTCAGGATCCTCACCGGTGCTACAGAGCCTATGCACTGTGCTGAACTTCTCGGAGTCAGACTCAAGTTATAAGAAGTACGGAGCACTTATAGGTTACTACCCATGTGCTATGATGTTGATTCGTTGTTCAAACTTCATCTTCTTCTGGCTGTCTTAATACTTAGTCTGCTTTACTGAACTGGATGTTAATTTCTTCAGCCAATTTACTATTTTCAACGAATGCTGTTGCCAGATATTTAAACACAGATGCCTATTTAACAGCTTTGCATGGGTTTGCAGGTAAAATTTTAAATCTCAGTATCATTATTGTCAAGTACCTTGCCCACTGGCATGGGTGATTACCCCTCTCCGCAATGTGCGATCTTTAACAGCACGTATCAGTTTGTGTGCTGACACCCCTCTTTGCCATGATAAAAGGTTGTCAAGAATCTTCACGTGTTGACTTTCTATGTTTCCACAGATCTTTCCCATACATACATGTTCCAGTTTTCTTCTTCAAATAATATCACTGAAAATGGATAACTGTCTAATTTACTATGTTTGTGAGAAGCTCTTTTACAACATCTGGGTTGCTCTTTAGTGACTGTAGAAGAAATTCTTCTGTGAAACCACATTTCTGAGGCCTCAAGAAATTGTGGCGTGTTTATTATTGTTCAGGCTTCACAGCCTAATGTTAAAACTAGCTCAACATATGTAAGAATTCCTTTTCTAACCTCCAGTGACATGGATTTATTGTATAAAATGTTTATTTTACAAAATGCAGTTTCAGCCTTTCCTATTTTGTTCTTGATCTCTCTGATACATTTTCTGTCTGATCTAATCCATGTGCCCAGATACTTCAATTGCTGTACTTGTCGCAAAATAACATCTTCAACTATTATTACAAATTTAAGCACTTTTATTTTCTTTGATATTAACCATTACTTGTCTTCTCATGGGGGCTGAGGCTCATTCTATCCATTTCTACCTCTACTGTATCTATCAATCTCTATAGTTCTTTCTGACTTTGGCTATCAAAATAGTGTCAACAGTATAAAGTAGTATTCAATACTATACTAGAATTTTAAATAAAAAACATTCATCATCATCATAAACCATGCCACTGGCTATTTTCATGCCATGAAGGTGCAGTGTCTTTAATGTTGTCAATCCATAATTTCCGTAGTGTCCTCTTGCTCTTGTCGCTGATCTTCTGAGATATAGTGCTTGTGATGGTATCTGATCTTGCCGCATTCTAACGAGATGGCCAAACCAGCTGAGCTGCTGTTTCTCAATTAATCTAGTACAAGGTGTCGTTCCCACAATTTGCTTAATAGTTTCATTATTCATTCGATCTGGGATGGTTAGGTTGGCTGCTTTTCTCAGGCATCTCATCTCGCAGGTGGGGATTTTGCGTAAATGGGCTTTAGTTAGTGTCCATGTTTGGCACTGGTAGCTTAATGTTGGAATGAATATGCTGTTAATAATCTGTCTCTTTGCACTCATAGTGGGCTTGGATGTCTAAATAATGGTGACAATTGGTATAAAAGTGCACTTGCTTTCTGACATCTTGTTTCTACTTCTCTGTCAACTCTACCATCTTCCGCTATCATACTTCCTAATTTAAACTCCATAACCTGATTCAGACCAGAACCATTCAGCTGTATGTGTAGTGGGCCAGGGATTATATAACTAGAATTTTCAATAAATAACATTGGTCTCTCTCTCTCTCTCTCACACACACACACACACCCCCCCCCCCCCCCCCCAATCTCTTGGGTAGTGACCTAGCTTTCTCAGACAAAGGCAAGAAATGGAAGGTTCTGTGTGCAGGTTGTGCAAGTGGGAAAAATACTGCTACCCTCCACTGTGCATAGATCTTAATTTCATGCACCATTAACCAGGTTCACGCCAAAAATATTTACTCACCTGAGCAAGAAACCTGTAAATGTAGCAAGGTTTAGTCTGCCCGAAGCGGTACACCCTAAAGATGGACTGCACGTCATGAGAGGGGTTCCAAGAAGCATCAAAGATGATCACTCTGGTTAGCAGCCACCAGATTGATGCCCAAGCCACCGGCTCGGGTGGAGATGAGGAAAAAGTCGTGCTCTGTGTCAATAATTGAGATATTATATAGAAAGGTTCATCCCAAAAATATGATAAATTGTTTATATAACCTCCATGTCATCATAGGTAGTGTGCTTGACTGCTGAGACAGTGATTCAGGTTCAACCCCCAGTATATGCAGAACTGTTTCAAATTCTGACAAAGTGTAATCATGTTTTGGTGTTATTCCATTACTAGAATTAACTTTATTATGTGAAAAATTTGGGGAATAGGGTGGAAGGCTGAGAACACACACTTGTTTTTGGGCCAAAAATTCTTGTTTTGATGATGTCTCTTGGGTACTCAACCCGCTGATGTTTTTGGTCATCAGACAACAAATGTGGTACCGGCACAAGCAACTTTTTTCTTGCCAAAATCTTGCACTAAAATGTTATGAATTGTCTCTCTAATAATACCAGAATCATCTGCCATCATCCTCACAGTAAAACAATGATCTTGTATCCATTCTCTCACTTTTGCAACATGTTCATCATTTCGAACAGAAATTTGGCGTTCAGGTCTAGGTGCATTAGTAATCATTTGCACACCTGAAAATGTGTGCATGAGATAAAAAATTATCCCCTAAACTTGTTGCATCAATTCAACTGTTTCAATCACAATTTTTATGAGTTTCAAAAAGAATTTAATGTTAGCTTTTTGCTCTGTGCTGATTACCTAACAATGCACCTCTGACTAGGTTTAAAAAAAAATGGTGGCTTGTTTGTTGTCTGCTTATCAAGCGGCGATGAAAAGCTGCCACATCATAGATAAATGTTGCCTCTTTAGATTCCATGATTTGCTTCATAGATGGCATTTTTGTCTTGGCCATAACAAAGTCAGTCTCATGACTTAATTGTCGGACCTTGTTCAACAGCCAATGGCAACAAACACAATTTGATTCCTCAGTGTAATGTTTAAGCTGCACAACATAAATGACAGAATAGAATAAAATAATACAGCAGAACAGAATGAAAAAAAAAAAGGGATATCAGACAATAAAATAATCAGTCAGAAGAAAGAAATGAAAATAACGAGTCAACACAAATGAAAAATAGTGGGTCGGCAGAATGGAATAAAATACTGGGGCAGCAGGACAAAACAGAAATAATAGTCGCCAGAAAAGAATCAATTATTGGCCAAGCAAAACATAATATACTATGGTTCAGCAAAATAGAATAAAACAAGGGAAGATCATACATAATAAGAAAATAAGATAGTATAAAAGAATAGAAAGGACAGCAGAACAGAATAAATTAATGGGCTGGCATAAGATGAAACAAAATAATGGGACAGACAGAAAAAAATAATGGGGCAACAGACAGCATTGTCAAAAATTAGATAGCAGAAGAGAACAAAATAATGGAACAGAAAACATAATTAAAAAATGGAAACGCAGAACATAAAGTCACAGCACATCAGAAAATTAAAATTAAAATAAGAGCACAGTAGAAAAGATTTTTAAAAAAAAAAAAAACATTGATCAGCAGAAGAGAACAAAATAATACTGCAGAACCAAAAAATAAAACCTCATATATAATAAAATAATGGACAGCACAAACACCGACCTATAATTGTCAATATCATTGAAGTTTGAAGCCCACAGCTGCCTATTCTGGGCACTTGTAGAGCCATCCATACGATAGTAATCCAAGTTCTTTGTCCAGCTGCGGCCAAACATCTCCTTCTCATGTTCTTCCTCAGTAAGGCTTTCACGCTCTTGCTGGTATTTGGAGTCCACAACCTCTAGGAAGCTCTCAATAATATTTAGAGATAAGATGCTCTGGCTAAAGATCAGCCTGAAAGTCCAGAAACAAATCATGTCTCAGAAATGTTAGGCATTGACTGCAGATTTAAGAATCACATTTCTAATATAGCTGTCTCCCGCAGCAGCTAATGTCTCAACTCTTTCGGTACCCAGCAACGCTTCTTGTATGATGGACTCTTTACCATGAAACCCAACCACAGTGCAGTGCATTCATATATTTTATATCTTGTCAGAGTGTACTAAAGAAACCTGATTTTCCCCAGTGGCCAGGTCTATTTGTGTACTTACTGTGTTTGAAAGTCCTATAGTTATGAAACTTCACAGTGATGGACTCCTTTTTTAGGTGTCTGCTGTACAACTTACTGGAGCTAAGGTGTAAATGTGATAGTTTCAACAACTTACTAATTGTGATGCTTTCTTCTCAGACATTCTTTCTTGCCAGATTCACACGCAAATGCAAATTCACCCAACTTTACACACACTGTTTCATCTAACACTGTATCTTCCATTATTGTTCATTCGCATATATATTCTACAGAATATCAGTCTTATCGAGTGTTCCTATTGCTGTTGCTCTTGTTGTCACCAAAAAATCTGCTGTCAATGCCTTGTACTCTTTATGTCCTGGATAGCATATCGATGCAAGTCTCTGTAATGCTGCAGTAATGATCATAGGCATCCACACATGCCACATTTTTTTCATCTGCTTCACCGGCTGTGAACTACGGAGGAAAGTTCTGGTTGTTCATCCACTTCTAGTTCCTCACCTTTCATGCAGTTAAGTTAATTGACAGGTTTTTCTCACTGCACATCGAACCATTTAGTCCATAAGACTAGGATCCTATCCTTGGTAAATCCTGCAGCATATAGCGACTCACGACACCAGCTGTTGGTTTCTTATTCTTCTTAGGTTTCCTGCACAGTGCTCTTGTCTGGCCACACCTCTTTTAACATGTTCTTGCAGTCTGGTCATTGTTGCAGATTCACAGTCATCACTTAGTTCTCGCAAATGACTTACTTCTCATAGAACATTCAGAATATCAGCATGGTCCATGGCTTGTCCACCCTCCATAGTACCTTTACTTGCAAGTCGATCTGCTTGCTCATTTCCTTGCACGCCTGTCTGCCCTGACACAAATATGAAACTGATATGTGTCACCCCCCTCCCCCATACACTTTAGAGACTCCAGCCACTATCTTCTGATACAGCCCTTCTCTATCTTCCTGAGCATACTCACTGAATCACTGAGAAAGCAAGCAGGGGAAGAGGTCTGTGCCTCCAGTTATGTTATTGCTTTGACCACTGCCATGACCTCCATAGTCAGACCACTTGTGGTCAAAGCAACAGCAACAGAATCCTGCTTCACAATTTAAACAAGCCTGAGCCGTAAAAGCCCAAGAGCTTCTCACAGAGCAAATTACAGACCATCTGTGTAAATGACAACCCCCTGCAGATGCACCCCAAATTCAAAGCAAACACCCTTAAATAGTGAGGTCATGGAACCCATACGTTGAGTCCGTTTTGAAATTTACCCCAAGACAAAGTTTGGGTAAATATACAACAAAGAAAGTATGCACTGTCTTATAAACAATAAATCAGGCACTGTCCTCACAATCAAGACTGGCTGCAATGAATTCCCACATATTCTGTCTATTGTGTCAGCTGTGCACTCTATCAGACTGCCGTTTGTCCATTTCATCTCTTGATATTGTCCTCCCACTTCTGTCACTGTCTACCTCTTCCTTTCCTGTCTTTTCCCACCAGCGGGTGTTTTTATAAAAGTGTCACTCTTTTAATGGCCATAATTCAGGTAGCAAATATGACAGGAGAAATGTTTACTTTTTCCTTCTTGTTCTTTTCCACCTATAAAGGGTGGCATGTTGTGGTTTACAGCCAGGCTTCTATATCTGCACCTTCTGGACTAACAATTTTATATATATATATATATATATATATATATATATATATATATATATATATATATATATATATATATATATATATATATATATATATATATATATATATATACACACATATAACATTCATAACTTACAGAAACAAACATGGAACTTACACTTTATCACCAATTTCCTCACACATTCTGAGGATTTCAAACAACAAAAAGAGTTTGTTGCTGAGCTCCAACTTCAGCTTGTCATCTTCGGTCACATAAGCTGCCCACCATTCTTTTGTTACCGACCTGTCTGTCTCTTCCATTTTAGCATCATCCCCAACCTTGCTAGTCCGAGTCTTGGACTTCCACTCTGCAATTACTTCTTCTGGGTCACTATCCTCTCCAGCTTGTCTTCTGTCAGTGTTTACAAGAAAACAAGAGTTAACATTCTGCAAAAAAATATAATATACTACACATACTTCTTTGTGTTCAGTGGCTGTAAACTCAGATGGGAAGTCTTGGTGGTTTGTTTTACAGATCTGACTTATTTGTGTGCAGACTATTGGTTCCTCAGCTCTCAGGTAGATGCGCTCTGAATTTAAAAGACACCTCGATTCTATCTAAGTTGGTCAGACAAAATATTACATTTACTATGATAACAAATATTATTTTAAAACATCTAAGCATCAAAGAAATGAAGAACTGTCCTCGCCATTAACATACCTGGCCTTTGCCCTGGTTCTCTTTGTCCCTCTCTGCACGTTCGTTTTGGCACTAGCTCCTTTCTTGCCATTTTCGCTAACTCCTTTGTCATCCTCACTTGATGAGCCAGAGCTAGAAAAAGACTGTTCCTCTTCGGAATCATCCTCAATAAAGGAATCTTCATCATCATCATATTTCATCTGTGAAAGTAATAGATTGTTTTAAATCATTTCAAGCTATCTGTAAAAGTAATGGACTGTTTTGTAAATCACTATATGCCAGATCTGAAAGTACTGGACTGTTTTGTAAATTACTATATGCTGTCTCTGAAAGTAGTGGATTGTTTTGTAAATTACTATATGCTGTCTCTAAAAGTAATAGATTGTTTTGGAAATAACTGTTGTTTCTGAAAGTAATGGATTGTTTTGTAAATTACTATATGCTGTCTCTAAAAGTAATGGATGTAAATAACTATGTTGTCTCTGAAAGTAATGGATTGTTTTGTATATCACTATATGCTGTCTCTGATGTAATGAAATGTTTTGTAAATTACTATATGGTATCTGGTGAAAGCAATGGATGGTTTTGTAAATTACTATATGCTGTCTCTGAAAGTGATGGACTGTTTTGAAAATCAGCATAGGCTATCTGTGAAAGTAATGGAATATTTTGAAAATCAGCATAGGCTATCTGTGAAAGTAATGGATTGTTTTGTGAATTACTGTATGCCATCTGTGAAAGCAATAGATGGTTTTGTAAATCATTTTATGTTATCTGTTAATGTATGGATGGTTTTGTAAATCAGTAAATGCTTTCTATGAAAGTAGTGGATTATTTTATTAATTACTATATGCTATCTGTGAAAGCAATGAATAGTTTTGTAAATCATTTTATGTTATCTGTGAAAGTGATGAATTGTTTTATTAAATTACTATATGATGTCTGTGAAAGAAATGGTTTATTTTGTAGATTAGATGCTATTTATCTAGTAGTGGTTTGTTTTGTTTTGTTAGTTAGTTGGGTTATAATCACTGCACTAAGGACATGTCCATATGTGCACAGATCCTCCCCTCAGTATGAATCCCAGCATCCAGTAGCTAATAGTGTCCAGTTCTATGTTGATTAACAAGTCCTCTGATGTGCCTGGTGTGCATCTCATGTTTTGCTATGCCGATCTCAATTCCCAAGTCTATCATTCTGGCGAGTGATGTGGATTTACTACCCCTAAAGTCCTCCACCCTTCGCATTTCTCGGAGGGCATTAATAATATCAGCATGATCCATAGGGTGCCCGTCGTTAGTTATAGCAGGATCCAGCTATTTTATTAACATCACACCTGTGTTTCCGGGAATGCAGTGGACTTCTGTAATAATCTAACCCATTGCCTTCATACCAAACCTGCCTGAACTCTCAGGATCATACTCATTGAATAACTGAGTACAAATGTGCAGGTGTAGTTTTGTGTTTCGAGCCACACGAACGCTTGTGTTACTGCCATCACCTCTATCGTCATGCTGCTGGTTTTTATGGAGAAGGCGCCGTTGGCTTCTTTGACTGTTCTGTCCGCTGTGCGTGCTGTGAACGCCGGTTCACTACTTTGTTGCGTATAAACGGATCAGTCTGTGTAGATAACTACAACTGCCTCATCTGATTTTCACTAATGACAGAATTGACCTCTGCATTGACAGCAACAGGATTCTGCTCCCTGCATCAACTGTCGAGTGTGGCAATAATGAAATCTACAAATAAACGCATGAGGCAAGGGTATCCACTCTGCACCAGGGGTGATATTGGTTATGATGCATATTTGCTTGATATCTTCTGCAAGACCTAGCCATGATTTTCCCTTTTCAGCCTGTTACCATCTCCACTGGAAATCGCTTCATGCAGTGGATGTTTCTTATCAGCGCAAATTTTAAGGTATGCCCGAGCCCTGTAGATCTTGATCATTTCGTTAATGGTCAGAAAATCAAGTAGATATCTTATCGCATTGCTGCACAGGAAGTGTCCCTTGTACATACCAAAATAATGCGCATGGCTTCATTTTGCATCTTTTCAGGTCATTCAGTCTGACAGGGAGGATGGCCAGAGCATATTCAATGGGGGGAAAGGACCAGCCCGTAGTTAAGAAGTTAGTAGTCTATGGGAGGCATGACCGATGGTCAGTGATATAGATGGGTGTAAATTTATTTATTTTAATTTAGCTGTTTTAATCAGATTCTTTAAGAACCAAAATCACAGCTAACCAGACACTACCCATAGATGCTCCAGTAAAAAATGTCATTAGTTTAAAAAGTAATCTTTCCAAAAGCATGCAGACTGTAATCTCACCCTTACACAGATTCTAGTAAGTAAACATTACCTTATCTGTGTGGGTTTTTTTAAATAGTAAAAGTTTTCAAAGAGCATTTTGTGTAAGTTTTTTTTAATTTTGTATAAGTAATTTTTGTTCCTGAAAAACTACACAGATTCTCACTATATACAGAATTTCTTGTTTAATTTAAAATATTTGATAAATCTTTCCAAAGCTCTTCCAATACTAAAACTAATGACACTCTAAATGTCAAAATACAGAGTATTTTGACATTTAGAGTGTCATTAGTTTTAGTATTACCCATCCCTGCACTGTTTTCTTTTATGTGTATAGGAAAGGTGCTGGCTTATATGTCACAATGGAACACGTTTAACTTTTAGTTTATTCCTCTCAATTCAAATCGCTGTTGGCATCTTTCCGTCTGTCCAGACGATAGTGTAATGTTCAGCTACGAGAGCCTCACAGCCCAAGGCGATGGCGAATTTAACCAGCAAGACCCGCCTGTGTTGAGAAAAGTCTTCCACGGTTATAGCAAGCACAGGATTTCAGGACCGTTGCTGCCATTGTTTATGTTTAGTGTGCTTCTTCTCAGACCCTCAGCTCTCATGTTTTCTGCTATCACTTCTTCCACTATTTTTGTCCATTCCCTTCCTGATGTTCCACATCCACGCAACACAGCCCATGGCATTTTGTTTTTAAAAGTAATTCAAAGAGATATGGAAATGGACTGTCCAGCAGAGGTTACTTTTTATGAGTCATAAAAACAATGAGATAGTCATAAACAACCAACCTTCAATTCATCCCTGATCTCTGCTAGTTTCAGTACCCAAGGATGGGTCCAAATCTTCATGAGATTTTGGTAATCAGCGAACAGACGTGCCCCTTTGTTAGTGTAGACACCATCCACTCCCTGGCCTGTGATCTCCAGGTACTTCTCATACAGCTCAATCTGTATGTTTGTAAGTCGTACTGAAATAACATATTCTTGCTTAGGGGGTAGAAACTTTGTCAATGCTGAGTAATCTCTTCTCTGTGAAAAGAAACGTAACGATAAGAAACATAAAGTAATCAATACAGTGTCTCTGCAACTAAATGTCATACTCTTAATTGTTGCACTGACAGAGTAATAAACTGTTACATGTCAAAAATATTTGTCAAAAAAGTAAGGTGGATGATGTAGTCAATATCACACAGGCCACCTTTGCTTCCCAGGTATTCTGTTGTGCCTAATTTACAAACTGCCATTTTTAGACTAAGTAAAAGACACTGAAATGTAAACATGCTTCTACTGTTTCAACCTATCACATACACAATACTGTATGTTCAAGCAGGCATATCATTCAGTAATGCACCGGCTACAGACTTAGCACCAATTCTGTTAACCAAGAAACCACAATCCAAATCAAACTTCACAGCAGAAGGGATATCTACAGAGATTTTTTTTTTTGAAGTGTAGAATGATGCCTGTCAGGATGACTTGCGTTACTTCATGGGTGTTGTTTTTGTCTTGGCCACAGTACAACTAGTTTCCATTACTTAACTGCCAGACAGAGTAAGACCACTGCAAGCACTAAAACTGTCACCCACCTGTACACATCCGGCCAGCATCTCGTGCAGCACATGAGCCCTAGCTTTCATGACTTTGACATCTCTGATGGTGCTGTCTGTACACTGTCCATTCTGTATGGGGTTGATGAACCGGTTAGTGAACTCCTTCCTGGTACCCAGCAGGCTAGGTTTCACAAAGCTGACCATGCAATGATCTGCAGACACATTGAAGATCAAACATGGTTGCTGGTGTGCTGTTTGAAATAGGCATTTCTATGCAAGTGTATTTTAATTAGAGTAAAGTAGTTGAAGTTAACCAACCCTAGCATTTTTTCCCTGCTGTTCTCGTGTGGGTTCAGAGAGCCCATTTTTTTGGTGGAAGAAAAGAACAGGCCATGTGCTCTTTAAAAAGCATGTAGAAAAGGGCAATTGATTACGAAACAAAATCAGATATGTGAGGCCGAAAGGTGCAGATATCACAGTCTAGCTATAGCTATAAACCACAATGCAATGTGCCGATTGCCCCTCTAAAGGCGAGGCAGAAGAAAAACTATGTGTTGTTTAGTTTTACTAGATAGTGTTACGTTCAGTAGTTTGCCACTACTTTTTTAATTATCCAAGGTTCATACCAGTGTCAGGCAACACAAAGTGGTCTGCTATCAAATTTCCTGCAGCTGGCCTTAAAACAATTAGTCAAGAACTCTTTTTCATGCCATGGGCGAATGAGGTATATGGTGCTAGACCCATATCTTACAGACCAGTCAGTATTTAAAACATGAAGGTCAAGTTTTCTGAACAGAAGTACTAACAATGTAATGCAATATTGACATTTACTCATGAGTGCAGTTTGTCTATTATATTAATTTACCATTTATGCAGAATTGAAGCTTCATACATTAATTATAATAATGACAATGAAAAATAGGGTTATAATGAACAAGATTATAAAGCAAAAAAAATAAAAACACAGTGGAAACTTGTACTTACATTCTGTTAAATTGTTTTGTAATGGTGTGCCAGTCAGGACTACCCTCCTCCTCGTTTTCATCTGATTCATGGCTTTAGAAATAGCAGATGTTTCATTCTTTAGGATATGTCCTTCATCACAGATCACTAAATCAGGGCCTGAAGTCAATGGGACCACACACAAAAAACATAAGAACAAACATTAAATCATAAGGTTCATTTTTAATCTGTCACACATTTTCCTATCTGATGATATGATATATATAAGGTTCGTTTTTATTCTCAGATTTTATCTAAGTTCTTTTCGTTCTCCCTGCCAGTGATTTTCAGATGAGAAGGTTACAAAGTCTATGGTGTCAGTCATATCTTCCAATGTTCCATACCGCTGGGTTTTCATTGGAATGCCAACCGGCAAAACCTGGGATCTCACTACTGCATGTAGACAGCATGTCTGTAGCACATGTTCAGTTTTCTGTGGTGCCTGTCCTCATGGGAAAAGTTCTGAATCTCCTGAAGTTCTGGTACATCTGGCTGCATAGTCTGTGGTGTCCAGTCTATCACAACATCCATGTCCTTCTTCCTCTTAAACTCTCTTTATGCCATGCAACTCACCACATATAAATCAGTGAAAGCACACTTTCTGACCCCCTTATGTTGCAGACAGTTGTTACATTAACTCATGATTTCATAATCATTAAATTTTTTTACTTCCATAGAAGATAGTTTTTGCATAACTCATATCAGAATTGTTAGTTCATTCTATCTCAGATAAGTGATTGTTATATAACTCATATTAGAAAACTGGTTCAATTCCTTTTATCATAGACAGTTGTTATGATTGTCAGAAAAAGAACAACAAAAAAGCAGGCTGTATTGTACTGACAGCAAAGAATATTTTCACAGTATGATTATCATTTTCTTCTGAAAGCAGACAAATTTCCTTACTGCCGTGTGGCTTGTTTACTGAAAACAGTTTGTAACTGGTGAAACTAACTGCTTGTGTGTGTCTGTTTTCCTCAGCACCAAAGTGTGGCAGTGACGATTATTCCTGCAGTGCAATTACTGTGAGCATGCCTACATTGCTGAGTTGATATGAGTCAAGAAATGATATCACAGCATTCTGGGCATTCCCATATGTGCTCCGTCCCCATTTTCAGCAGCCAGTGCAGAGTTCCAAAACTGGTCATAGTCTGGTTATATGTCTGTCTCACCTTTCTTCTGAGTGCAGTGAGCCGGCCAGACCCAGGTGCATCATTCTTTCCAGGCCATAATAATCTAGTTTCTCTTCTGACTCCATTACTTGTTCCCAAAGGACCTTGTCAAAATTGTCTTGCCTACATTGCTGGTGCCTGTTGTTGTTGTTATCGATCCAGCGGCGCATGAGCTTTCGCCCTTTGGCCCAATGCCATGTAGTGGAATTTGCATGTTTTCACAAGCTGTTCTTTTCCTCCGTACAAGGTGTTCCACTTGTCTGGTCTCGGAGGGAGTAGCGTTCTTCTTGTCTCACTGAGTTTTGGGCACTCAAAGAGATGGTGTTCAACAGTTTCGTAGGGGTAGTTACATAGCTGGCACTCTGGGGAGTGTTGTGGCTGTATTCTGTTTAGGTGTCCATTGAGTGGAGTATGTTGCGTTCTAAGTCTGAAGATGGTGGCCTGGTCCCTTCTTGTTAGATGGTTAATGCTGTCATTAGGATCAGGGCCAGACATATGTCTATAAACCTCTCTTCCAGTGTCTCCCATGGCCCATCTGTTCAACCAAGTCTCTTTGTTTATAGCTCTTATCAGTGTTTTTGCTGTCTGGAGGGTTGTCGCTGTAGGTGGTTGTTCTTGTGTTGCTCCTTTCTTTGCCAATCTGTCAGCTCTGTCATTACCTGGTGTGCCGGAGTGACCTGGAATCCACTGCATCACTATTCTGATGTTGTATGAGGTAATAAGCTGATCGGCATCCAGGATTATCTTGGCTATGTCAGTTCTCTGCAGCGTTCATTGCCCTCCAGAGCTTGAAGGGCAGACATTGAATCTGTGAAGATGACAATATTTTGGACCTTTGAGGGGGTAAACATCCATTACAGTCTTTAGGTGGTATACTGCTGTTTCCAGTGCAATTATTTCAGCTTCATAGTTTGAACAGAATTCCCCGCATGCATCAAAAATCTCTTCAACAGATCCATCGGGATAACCTATGTAGATTCCGTAACCTGCTTTAATGGTAGCTTTAAATGCTGATCCATCAGTATAGACACATGTATCCATTCTTGGGGTAAGAATCAACGGTCTTTAGTGATGAGTTCATAAGAGCGATTGGGTCGGACTGTTTGGTTTCCTCGCCTACCAATTTAGTTTGGACTTCTGGAGCTTTAAAGCGAGCATGTGGTGGTAGGTTTTTTGCAACATTCTGAATTCCTTGACGTCTTTCTGGGAGGTGGTATCTGTCCTGAATTTCATTAACACAGTGTAAAACCGATTTGTGCTTTATTCTTTGTTTGGATTCCCAGTTTTCTACAAGATGTCTATTAGGATGGTTACGATTTTTCCTAACGCATCTTTCATAAATTTCTGGTGCCTGTAAACATGCATGCCACTGTCACAGGTGATAACAAAGACTGAAAGAACATGGAATGTTTGAGGAAGCTAAAGATGACTTGGCATGAGTTGACTGAGGGTCCCTGCTCCATTAATGAGGGTAAAAGAAGAAAGTGGACTGAAAGAAAAAATAAAGAAAATGATAACATATTACTACTGCCAGCACTAAAGATACACATAATGCTTCATGAAGATAATACAACCATATACAATGCCAATCCTTAACAGACATCTTGAAGCAAAGATTTTAAAATGCCATGGAAACGTATAAAAGAAAGTCACATGATGTGTAAATACAACTGAAAACTTACCTGGATCAACCAAAGTATCCTGAAAGATTTTTTTCTGCCTTTTATTCTTGCACCTGCTGCCAGTGGTCAAATTGCGGTACATCTCATAGCCCATGATCATAATCCCTCCATTTGCTTGCCACTCTTTCAAGGCTTCAACACGGGCAGCATTCTGCTTGCAGCTGGCAAGCTCCCACACCTGGTGTCAGATAATACATAGCAGATCATTCATATAAACATACATATCTTTCTTTAGGACAAAACACATGCATCATTTTTTTGGGGTAGTATTTTCATATTTTATGGTAAGAGATGGATAGCTTAGGCATTAATCCTCCAAGTCCCAGGAAGGTTGACAATCCAAGATACCGAATGACCAGGGGCTGATATAATTGAAAACAATGTGAGTGGGGCAGTACCTAGTGTATGGACACCATCTGTTCTGTCTTCGAGATTTATAAAAAACTTGCTCCTCAATTTACAACTGCTGTGAGAATGTTAGTGTGTGCCATTTGTTGGTAAGGTTCTCTCTCTGGAGTTTTTCCACCCTTGAAAGAGAAGGATACAAATTACTACACAGCCCTATAAGGTGGGGTACAAACCAAGAAACTTTGGACAGTATGATTACCAAGAGAAGATGGAAATGACTTCTGATACACCTGCCAAAACAGCTCTCACATGGACACCAGAGGGAAAGAGAAAACAGGGACGCCCAAAAACAACATGGAGACGAACGATGGAAAGTGACCTGAGTGCGGCATCTTTGACATGGAAAACTGCACTGAAGATTGCACAGGACAGGAAAGCATGGAAAGTCCTCTCTGAAGCCTCATGTGACACTAGGCATAACGAGAACTGATGATGATGGGGTGGGGGGGGAGGGGGGGGGGGGGAGAAGAAGAAAAAAGATCTAAGTCCAGATGTTTGATTCATTACCTTGCCTGTGAAGGTTCATGAAACCCATTTTCTTGGGGAGGTATACATGCCCCTTTATGCATGTCATAAAAGGAGACATTAAAAAGTGTGATGAACATAGAATCAAATGACAACTGACTCTATTAGTACTGGCAATCTGTCCTGGCTGCTGAAGATGAGGATGTATCTCTTATGGGGAAGGTCCCAAGTGTTGTGATGATGCCTGTTCCTAATTCAACTCAACTTCTTGATTTGGTAATGTGGGTTAAAATAGCAGATTTTGAAATACACTCACCTCAAGCTGGTCCTCCTCATCCAGCCACATACCCCACTCATTTCTCCAGTTAAGGACTGTGTTTAGAGGACTAACAACTAGGCATGTCCGCTGATTAAGAACCTTCTCATGGGACAATATGGTGTGAACAAACGAGACTACCTGAAACAATTGCAAACAAAAGAGTTGATTAGCTTGCATACATTTATCTCTAAACCAACGCACTGAATCCATTTTTTTTTTCTTGTTAGCGTTCTCATGCTGTAAACTCTGACGGAAAATCCTGGTTGTTCGACTACTTCTGGACTCTGGTCTTGTTCCATGCTTGGGTGTTACACACGCATTCATTTCACTGAACCAACTTATTTGTGTGCAGACTATGTAGCACACACATAATGAAAAAAATAAACCAAACAGGTAGTAAGTAGTATAAAATATAATCACAAAGACAAAATATCACAAGACAAAACTAACGTTCTGACTAAAAAGCCTTCTTCAGCATTTTTTTTAAAAGCACAATTATTCAACTACAGAAAAGACTATACATAATTAAAATATAATCACAAAGACAAAATATTACAAGACAAAATTAACATTTTTGCTAGAAAGGCCTTCATCAGTGTAAAAAACACAGACAATTATTCAACTACATAAAAGACTACACAATCAAAACAACAAAATATCCCGATTAAATTAACGTTTTTGCGAGAAAGCCTTTATCAGCATTAAAACACAGATGATTATTCAACTAATAAAAGACTATATGAAATACGGCTCTTTGGATGAAATCAACTGGCTGTCGAAATATTTATAAATGAGAAACCAAAATGGGCGTGTTTGTTAATAGTTTCTGATGAAATTCACAAGTATAATTAAGCGTTTCTTTAAGGATGAAACTGTGGCAGGTCCAGCAAACCAACAGTGGATTTAAATGCTCTAGCAAATGTACAGAAAATGTTGTCACCATGGGGGAACATTTATATAAAAACAACAATGTAACAAGAATGAGAGATGCTGACTCACCGACAAAGTTTTCCCCAGACCCATACAGTGAGCGAGTATACAGCCAGAACCTGATTCCTTCTTAGAGCGTTTGACACTTTCATACATGCAGTCCCACATGAATTGGACAGCTGAAACCAAACATAAATTACAGAAAATATTTAGACTTTAGTAATAACCCAATAAATGTTGTGAAGTCTTCTTCTTTCTTCTTCTTTGCGCTCGGTTAAATTTTGTGAAGTTATTTTTAAAACATTTTTAAAGGGAGGATGTTGTGATGGAGGGTTATTATTCCTAAATTTCACTATACTGTGCTGCATCGACAATCAGCTCTGTCAAAAATCCTTGTGTCTTGTCTACTGCCAGTTACCTTCTCACTGTTTTTTTTTCCTACTTCTTGTCTCCAACTTTTCCATCATCATGACGTCCTCCTAATTCCTCCTTCTCATGGCATGCCTAAAGAACGTAAATTTCCTTTTTCTGATGCACATAACCAGTTCTCTTGTGAGGTTATTTCTTTCCAGAAAGTGGCACTACAATTTTAATCAGTGCATGTTTTCTTATCATTCTTCTATACAACCATATTCCTGCAACTTCCACACTCAACCACACTCACTAAACAGACCAGGAGGCTCTAGGGTGACCCAGCCTCTAAATATAGTTATACCAGGCAAGAAACATAATGGCAGTCAGCAAAATACTGACATCACATGTCAAATGCCAAGTAATCTAACATTTTAGCCGAGAGATATATTCTGGACATGTCACATGTCTTTAAAATGATTGATCCATTTATGGAAGACAAACAATAATATAGATCTGTTAAACTTTAAAATTGAAGCTAAATGCTGTCTTCCAGTTTTGACAATGATTTTGATGGCAGTTCAAAAGAATGATCAAAGTCACAATCATGAAACTGTTCAGAAATATCTTCCTCTTTACTTTCCGATTTAAAACAATCAAGACAATATCCCATAGCATCAGGAATATTCTCAATCTTCCACCACGCCGGCTCCAATAATCAGCCGCCATTATCAAAACATATGTTTTGAGCAATCGACATGGGAGCTCACCAAAACAGATTTGTTGAAAATTTACTTTAAGCACTACCAAATTGTTTCTCTTAAATAAACAATGAGAAATGAATGGACTAATGGTTTCAACTACATTTATCACAAGTCACAATTAAAACATGACAGCCAGCGTCCAAAGTTACGATTGCAGGGGGTGCAATCCTAACAGTCAGGTGTAAACGTCAGCAGATAGCATACTGTGCGATCATAGTGGTCAGTTGATTAAGGATTTTTTTTCTCCAACAATTTCTATGAGCCTTATGAATTTTTATCGTTTGTGGGGTGAAAAGGTTACTGTAAAAGGTTTGTAACTCACTAAATTACTGTAGAAGAGATGAGAACTTACCATCCACCTGATGTGGCTTCAGCTTGCGAACAAGTTTCTTGTTGACCTGTATCAGCGGATCATCACCTTCCTCCCTGCCAGGTTCCAGTACCAGCTTGGTTGTCATGGGACAGTCCATGGGGTTGTTTTCATCTGTGACTGTCTCAATGTTGAACTACCAATGACAGGGATACAAATACACAGGTTAAATGTGCTCTCAATGTTGAACTGCCAATGACAAGGATATAAAAACACAGGTTAAATGTGCTCTAAGTGTTTAACTGCTGATGACAAGGATACAAATACATAGGTTAAATGTGCTCTCAATGTTGAACTGCCGATGACAAGGATACAAATACACAGGTTAAATGTGCTCTAAGTGTTGAACTGCCAATGACAAGGATACAAATACACAGGTTAAATGTGCTCTCAATGTTGAACTGCCGATCACAAGGATACAAATACACAGGTTAAATGTGCTCTAAGTGTTTAACTGCTGATGACAAGGATACAAATACACAGGTTAAATGTGCTCTAAGTGTTTAACTGCTGATGACAAGGATACAAATACACAGGTTAAATGTGCTCTAAGTGTTGAACTGCCAATGACAAGGATACAAATACACAAGTTAAATGTGCTCTTAGTGTTGAACTGCCAATGACAAGGATACAAATACACAGGTTAAATGTGCTCTTAGTGTTGAACTGCCAATGACAAGGATACAAATACACAAGTTAAATGTGCTCTTAGTGTTGAACTGCCAATGACAAGGATACAAATACACAAGTTGAATGTGCTCTTTCATCAGATATTTGAATCATTAGAATACTAAATGTCTTATGTTTTCTTCTTCTTCACCGCTAGATAAAATAGTCCAGTCAGCATTTGAATTGTGTTGTTATCCACCAGCCTAGACTGTACAGCAACTGACGACTTTAGCCTTCTTCCAGCTTGTTTCAGTGATTAACTTACAAGCTGGTCCACACACTCACTAGCTTTTACTCATGCATACTCAGAACTATCATCATCATCATCAAGTGCCTTGCCAGCTGGCGTAGGCGTTCATGCACCTCCACAGATCACAGTCTTTGGTGTTCTGGATCAATTCCACTGATGATATTCCTCATGCACTGACTTAAGACTAATAGATTTAGAATAGGAGCCTGGAACTAGCTATACATTCTCCTTTTCCTGAAAATTCTTTTTAATGCAAAACAAAAAAATAATAAACACATTTACAAACAGAAAACAGCTTAACTAACCTCCCTCTGTTTAGTAGCTATTCTTCTCCTCCTTTTCTCCTCAGCCCTCGCTGCAGCTTTTGTTGAATCCTCCAATCTTTTGTTTGACATAACTTTTCGGATCTGCTTTCTTTTTCCAGCTTTGCTGTCATTTGGATCATCCTGAAACAAAAGTGAAGAAGTTCAAACTGGCAGGATACACCCCTTTACATGATTTTGTTGAACTAATGGCTGGATTCAGTGACTACAGCTGTGGTTATCCCTTATTAACTCTTTCAGCCCCAAGCAGTTGTTACTCTGACTTGTATCCAAAAGCTATTGTTACTTCAAATGAACAAAGTTTGTGTCTACCGTTATTCAAATAACTCTTAATCTTAATTTATACTAAAACAGCAACTTTCTATGACAAAAAGAGTTGAAGACAGAACATTCAAACTTCATCAGCAACATACATCAGTAATCTAAACCAGTGTTCCCCAACCATTTTACACCCATGGCCCACCAAAATGGTGGCAACTGGCAGCCCACCTGAAAGCTAACCAAACAAAGTAACAAACACAAATTTAAGTAGCAATATTTTTGTTTCAAAATTACAACTTTCAGCTAATGCTGCTTAGAAGTTAGAAAATCTGATAAATGTAGTGAAGCCTTGCTTGTGATCCAGAAGTGCTGCAATAACATCCACTCAATTTCTCTGGTTTTTATTACTGAATGGCTGAGAAAGTCTTTTTTCCATGAACAGGAAGTTGAAACAGCGACAAACAATCTAACAGCTCTGTAACTCACAAATCCAAATCTCAGACAATGATTGCATTTTATGCCTGGACATAAATCTATCAGTTGTTCTTTTTCATGAATATCAAGTGTGTATGATCTTTAATCTTCCTAGAAGTGATATTAATACAAAGGCTGCCTTTAGAAGGATCCTCATTTTCAGGGTAATAAATATGAGTGTTCAGCTAGCGCCTTTGAATTCTGACTGATTATGGTGAATATTACTTTCTGGTTTCAATTAGCAGAAGAAAAAGTCTCCCAGAAGTGGAACCATTTCTATATCTTTCTCTTGTACGTGATTTCCCAGAGGGCCAACTTATTTTTTTTTTAATGCATTAATTTTATTTCTAAGTGTAGAACTATTTGTAAAAGTTTAATGGAGATAGGTGTTTAGTTTATTAAGAAGGCCAATGACATATCTGGGTGTGAAGTTTGATCGCATCTCGCTGTCTTTCCTTCAAAGGTCACCTAGACCATGTTTTAATGAAAGCCCATAAAGGCTTATCAGCAATGAGGGTCCTGTCCACTGCTAACATCGAGCAGAGACTGCTTCTGCTACTGATCCAGGGACTGATTCGTTCTCTCATTGAATATGCTTCAGCCATACTTATCGTCAGCGATACTCAGATTTAAAGTCTGGAAAAGGTACAAAATGAAGCCATATGCATTATTATGGGGTGCACAAGAGACACCTCTTGCATAGCAATGAAATATCTTCTGGTCTTTTCGACAATGCACCATACAATGAAAATCTGAAGGACTCGGGCATACCTGAAGATAAGCTCAGATATGAAGCACCCTCTGCACAATTTTCTCTTTAGGAAAAAGGGCAGCAGGCTAAAAAGGAGCAAACCATGGCTCAGTAGGGCAGAGAATAATATCATACAGATCTGCAGTCTTACAGACATCAACCTCAGCGAAGAATGGAAACATGTGCCCTAGGTGCTCAACTGCACATTTTCCTGTGTTGTCACGTATGACAGGAGCTGTCAGGAGCAGAATCCAGTTGCTGTCAATGCAGAGGTCCACGTGCTTATATTTTAAAATTCAGATGAGCCAGATGTACTGATCTACACAGATGGGTCCATTGTACGAGGACAAAAAAGTGCATAGGAATTTACTGCGTGCTCTGCAGGCAGAACAGTCCAGGAGTCCAGTGGTGTCTTCTGTATGACTATTAGCAGCACGACAATGGAAGTGATGGCGGTAACACGAGCTTTCATGTGTCTAGCATCATAGGGCTTTTCTCAGGTCTGTGCTGAGTGATTCCATGAGCATGATTCGGAGAATGCAGGTGTTGTTGGCAATGAAACTGACAGATTAGCTGGCTCTGTCTAAGTTACCAGAGCCCATGAATCATGCAGACATTGTTAATGCCATTAGAGAGGTAGGACGATCTGAGGATTTTGGGAGCAGCACATCCTCATCTTTGCTAAGAGTGCGAGATCTGGGAGTAAAGATTGGCACAGCCAGACACGAGTAGCACAAGGAATGAAGTCTTGTCAACCAATATTGGACTGGGACTCAACCACGGGATGCTGATGTATATACTGAAGGTAAAATCTGAGTTCCTATGGACATTTCCAAAGTGCCGTGAAGATAACCCAAATCATAACTCATAACCAATGTGAGACAGTATATTTAAAAAAAAAACAACTCGTTCAACACAAGAACATTACTTACATCGTCGTCGTCGTCATCATCATCATAATTGTCTTTGTCTTTTTCTTCTGCATCATCATCGTCATCATCAGAAGAGCTATTCTTCTTCGTTATTTTCTTTCCTTTGCTCTTTGTCTTTTTCCCACTCTTCTCGTCATCATCATCATCCTGGTCTTCGTTATCATCGTCTTCCTCATCAGATTCTTTCTGGCTCTTTGACTTTCTTTTCTTCTTTCGTGACTTCCTCTTCCCCTTCTTTTTGGGTTTTGGTTCACCATTGGAATCTTCGGCCTCGCTGTCATTGCTTTCGTCGGCATCATCACTGTTGCTGGCATCATCAGAGTTTATGCCTGAGCTGGATGAATCACCTGCCTTGAACGAGTCTTTCTCATCATCTTTCACTTTCCTATAACAAACAGTGGAAATGTTTCAGCAATGAAATAACTACACATTAACTCATGTTGCTACACTTAGGCTTATTTGAGGGTTCCAAAGTTATTTTTATTCTTCAGACCAACCTGTATAGGTTCCGAAGGCTCTATTTTGGATAACAACGACCAGACCCACTGCCTAACTAGCATGTTGTAGGAGGCAACTAATTAGGGGTGTTTCCTACAAAGTTAGAGTGTATCTACCTCAGAGGCACGGAACAAACAGTCTGCATACAAATAAACCAGATCTGTAAAATGGATGTGAACTCACAAACCACAATGCGCACAGTTGAAAAGAATTTCAAATGAAATCTACAGCTTATATTGTCTTTTTACCACACACTCAGCTCAGTAGATAGATGATGGATCTATGCATTTTCATTCCATATATGGAGAAAAATATGATGTCACACTGTGGCCAGGAGCAAATTAGATGTCCAGATTTTAACAACCAGCCGGCCCATCTATCTGCCATACTGGACCAGAAGCCACACACCAAACATTCACTGGTGTACCCAAGCTAAGGCTTAAGTGTGTGTGTGTGTGTGTGTGTTTTAACTGTGCTATTTCCTCAAAGATGGTTGGCTGCAGCAGATATGTACATTCACAGCTCTCCTTGGGATTCTTATGTGGAGAAACCCCAGTCTCTTCCACAATGTGACTATTGTATCACTGTCCAAAAGCTATAAAAATGACCTTTTTTCTAAACCAGAAATCAAAACCAGGAATATTGGGTACTGCAGTGGGTTTACTCTTAAAAGTCTAAACATTCAATGGTTTATACTTGACACTCAAAGGTATAACCTGACTAAACCTTATCTGACAACCACTCAATACATGATGACTAAAGTCATAGGGTACGCATTATAAAGACATTTCTGGTGCATCAACACTGTTCCCCATGAATAAATAAATGACCCCACCAAGGAGAGAAGGCAGTAAAATTGGCAGGGGACCATGCAGCATCTTTTGCGTAACACCGGCTAGATGATGGCGATGTTGAGACTCCATAGTCAATCAAGGTTGCTGGATACATAATCTACAGTGAGAATGAAGTTATTTTGGTGGTTTTCAACTCTTGAAGCAACAGCAAATACAGAAAACTTACTTCGTTGGCTTGCCAGTATCAGATTCACTGTCAGAACTGGCCTGCTGAACTTTTTGTACTTTCTTTCTTTTACTTCTGCTGCCCTTGTTATCAGTACCCTCCGTTCCACCATTATCTTTGGTCTCTTTTTTCTGCGCTTTTTTTGATGTTTTTGGTTTGGTCTTTTTAGCTGTACCTAAGGCAGACAGAGACAAATGCATCAAACACGTTATTTTATGCCCCAGATACACATAAACTTGACAGTTAACATAAAACGCCACTACATTTATAAATTAAGCCCACTGACTACTAAGCTCGCTAACCCTTGCACTTTCCCAGATACCAAGTATTTTAGTGTCCACTAAAAAATTCCATAGCTTCACAGCAATTTAACATAAACTCATACTTTTGCACCAAACTGAATAGAGAACAATCTCAAAGAATAAAAACTCATGTAATCTTTTTAAACATTATCATAATGTGGCTGTAGATTAGTGCACACAAAAAAAAGTATCTGAAAATATTTTTTTCTGACAGCAATATAGACTAACAAAATGCCATAGCTTCACAACTATATTACACAAACCCATATTATTTAGCATTTTTGTACCTAATTAAACACAGAAAAAATTTCAAGAATTAAAAAAAAAAAAAAAAAACTGTAATCTTGTTTCATATCAACATTGGTGCAAAAACGCCAACCAAAAAAAAATAAAATCTTCTGACACTAATATTTAAAAAAAAAAAAAAGTTCTCCAAATTCACTGTTTGTTAGCCATTTTGCACCAAGAACTTCTGTTACACAGTATGAGTGAACTGTCAAACTCAAAAAACCACAAACACTATCTTTCCCCCAAAAGGCATCGCGGGAATGTCACCCCGGTAAACGTCAAGGACTGCATTGTGAAACGATTTTTATTTAACTTAAAACCACAGAGCTGTAATATACACAATCTATAATTATAATAACAGAGGCACCAAACAATATACATCTGAAGAACATGAAAGAAACAGTTCACAAATAGCACATCTACCTCCGACTGCTACAACACTGCTGTAAGCTAAACGTCGTCTTCAAGGTTTGTATATATGTTCCATGTTTAAGCAATAACAAAGCAACCTATGAATGACACACAAGAGAACAGTATCACAGGGGACATGCATGGCTGTGGAACCTCTTAATTCTTGTTATCTCAACTGTGGTCTGCATCAGCTCTTTTATATTGGTAACATGCAGGAAACAGAAAGAGAAATGAGATCACCACATGATACTGAAGGTTCAGCGCTTTTTATCATCACTATTTTTTTTGTACTGCTTATCGCGTCAGTCAATATTTTACGGTTAGTAAATTACTGTTGCAGATTAGACTGAGTGTGTAACGGTACTGTGGGGATAGCTGACAAGTCTGTCTACACAATCACAATTCCAACATGGAAAATATTGTAAGGGCCTTCATATACTGTAAGTTTTAAACCACAGATGATAAAATATGCTAAAGAGCATGGCATTAGGTAAGCAGAACATCATTTTGGACCTCAACCAATTAAAAAAAAAACCCCATAAGGTTTTTGCAGTCTCAGCAGAATGTTTTGTATAAAAATAAATAAAGGATAGCCTGCACATCATAGGGAGATGCAAAAAGGCGGGAATTAGAGACTGATGTATTGAAATGTATTTTCTGGAACATTTCTTTCCATTTATGAGATGCGACTTTATACAAGAAAGCATCTTATACACCGACAAATACGGTATCAGTTATTATCTTCTATGTTACTCGACAAACCTTCCTTGTTATCACGGACTATAAGAAAAAGAATGTCATCACTTACTATCTTATTTGTCACCTGATAAACCTTAGTTGTTATCGTGGAATTTAAGAAAAAAAAAGAATGTATTCACTTACTATCTTCTTTGTCACTGGATAAATCTTCCTTGTTATCCAGTGCCCCATTTTCCACAGCAACACTGTCATCTTCTGCATCCTAAATGTCAGAAAGTGTTATTAAACATATGAATTACCCAAATTACCCAGTAAAAATGTATACTCCCACTTACCACTTACATAGGGACATAAATTGTAACGCCATAATGAAACTGGACAATAAATAGTACAGCACCTATAAGGGACACTCAGAAAGTAATGTCCAGCATTTTTTTCTCAGCTAATAATGAAAACAGAAATCTTAAATTTTGCATGCTTAAAATTTGAAATGCCAATATTGTCTGACAACTTTTTTCGCCCATAAGAAAACTTAACTAATCTGGTGAAATAGAAGGTTGAGAATGTGCGTAAAATTTACGCAGGAGATAGAAATCAATGTGATGATTTATACTCTGGGTTCATAGCCAAATTTATCAATCAATTTCAAGGCTTTTCAAGATATTCTTAGTTTTGTTTTCAAGGTTGTCTCAGAGTAATACTGAAACAAGGTATTTTTGCCTTATTCAAGCGTGTACCGAGCACACAGGGTACTTTATTCGTGCGCACATTTGTGGGTATACCAGCATAGATATAGTGTTTTTTACCTTTTTTTTTTTTTTTAGACTTTGTGGTAAAGGGAAGCAAACTGAAGTCCCATCTGTTCTGGACCTGGTAACTGAAAGGGGGAGGGAGAGATAGAGTCATACAGAGAGGGAGAGGGAGGTCTAAGGGGTTGACCCCTGGTTTTTATCAACTGACCAAGACTTATAATTTTTTCTGCTTCCTCTCTTCCTCTAGCTTCTTAGGATAGAGATTCAGGGAATGTGTTGTTGTTTTGTTTAAAATGAAATTTGGGAAAAGATCATGTTTTAGGATTTTTACTGGGTGAATGGATTAAGGCTTCAGAAAATTGTGATATGGACCTCAGGATGTTACTTGTGCTGTGAAGAAATGACCATGCATTACAACGGAAAAAAATATATGATTTACATGTGGCATGCATGCCCTTTTTTGAGACTGGCGTGAGGTCGTAGTAATGGTCATAAATTATACAGAAAATTAAGACATGTTAAAAGGACTGAATAAGTTATACTGTAAGTGAACTTCACAAATTTTACATAAATAGTCTGAGAGAAGAAAGAAGAGGCGCATAAGAGGCCCCTCGTAGCTTTAAAAACCTAAAGGGACACACTGCATTTAAAACCCGCAAGGTGTCTGTGTCATTAACAGTCTTACCCTCCACAATATTATTTGGTACGCTTTTTTAAGGCTGAACTGACTCTGTGATCATTGTTGTGTGATAAAGATTACGCAAACCTGACTTATTTGAAAATATTCATTTGTTTTTAATTTTCAAATATACATTTTCCATAATGACTGTCTAATTTCTGGCCATGTTCCAGGTTTTCAACTCTATCCCTCTCTCCTCAGTCAGTCAGTCAATCAATCAGCAAAAAAAACAAAAATTTTTTTTTTTTACAGAAAATCGCTCTCGTCACGGCACCCCTCAAAATCTGTTTCTAGCCGATTCTCAAGCCCTATGTGCTTTCCTAGCCAATGCAGCTTCAATGTCTTGTATTGTTCTTTGTGGAGGTCAGCCTTTGCTTCATTCTCCAGAAACTGTACCCTAGGCCACCGTTTCTCCCTCCTACCCCACCCAATCTGTTGTTGGATGTGGTTTCTGAGAATGTATACTGTTACAAAGATTCATCTAAATCACCAATAAAGCAGAATTTTTAACTGCATCTATAGTATCTCCACAAGATGTGGTCTTCTATACATTTGACAGGCAAATGTAAAAAAAAGCAAAAAACAACATTTGATTTGCCATCTGTCCCTATTTTACAAGCATCCACACATCAGAACATAATTCAAGCATCAGGTGATTTAAAGAATATCTCCACTAACATTTTTCTACATGCACTAAACATGGACTGTGTCTTCTTCTTTTTCTGAGTTCACCCTTAAAAGGAGGCTGGCACGCTGTGTTGTGCTTTACAGCTAAGCTGTAATATATGTGCCTTCTGGCCCACCACACCATCGACTTGTCAGCTTTTACGATTTGCAGTGGGTTTATTATTTTTTTTTTAAACAAAAAAATGGGGTTTGGAACTCCCATGGAGAGAAAGAATACTGTTCTAATACCAGGAAAGGAAAGTAAAATACAGAAGAAATGAACTGCTTGAGAAAAACTAAAAGCTTTACTAAAACATAAACAATGGTCATCCTACACTAGTATCACAGCAGTCAGGACATGCCTGCACATTTTCAGTCTTCCCAGAAAAAGATAAAGAATATTGAAATGTTATCAATTACAAATGCAGTCACAGAATATTGGCACTTTCATGTGCTCATGTCTACTAATGAAGAAAAGAATGGACTGCTCTGATGAGACTGTCCTTTTCGGGGTGACTGAAAAGACTTCAATGGCGACTGAATGCACAAGAACAATAATTAATAAATCACCACAGTAATGATGGGGTTTAAAGACAGAAGGCTTATGACAGACATGATAACCACAGCCACACAGCATAAAATATCAGAAAAAGGATGTACTTTGTCAGTGATTTTTTGGTTCTCAAAACAGACCTTAAAATCAAGCTGCATCTTTCATAACAAAGGTAGACCTAATGTACATTATTTTTCTAGTTTTGTCCTTCCAAGAACTTGGATGCAAGCACTTACGACTGAATTATTCAATGTGCAAGAAGGATGATTCATCGAATGACTTACTATATATATTTTTTTTTTATTTACAGAGAATGGCACCATTTTAACATTTGATAATATTATAATGCAGTCACACATGCAGCAACACTAAAAGATTATAATAAACTTGTGACATAATTTGCAGAAGTAAATTATTTGACAAATCACCTGTTGGTCTTCCAGAAAAAAGGTAACAGTTGGCTCATCTTCATCATCCATGTCATCGTCATAATGTGCTTCCACTTCATTCTCACCCGAAGCATGATGATCATAGTCAGTGCCCTTCTTAGAACTTTTGGGGCCTAAAATATAAGATCTTAGGTTAAACTATTTTCCTGCTAGCTAATAACTGCATTCTTAAATTTAAACACATTTACTGCAAAACAATGATGTTAACACGCACTGTTACTTGTTTCCACTGTCAACAGTACCCTGGCATATTTTATCACCCACTTTTAAAATCTACTACCAAAACTACTTTAAGTTCTGCTAACAGTGGTATTATCAAATAGAATCCTCTATTCTGTATATGGTATTCTTAAATGTCTACTGTTACATTTGCCCACTCTATCAACAGCACTTTAAACATCTGCTGTTATATTTCCCCATTCCACAAACATTACTTCAAACACTTTCCTTCTGTTACCTGCTTCCACTCTACCAAGAGTACTCTAACATCTGCTGTTATATTCCCCCATTCCACAAACATTACTTCAAACATCTTCTGTTAACTACGTCCACTCTACCAAGAGTACTCTAACTAACATCTGCTGTTATATTCCCCAATTCCACAAACATTACTTCAAACATCTTCTGTTACCTGCGTCTACTCTACCAAGAGTACTCTAGCATCTGCTGTTTTATTCTCCCAATCCACAAACATGACTTCAAACATCTTCTGTTACCTGCGTCCATCACTCTACCAAGAGTACTCTTAACTGTTCACAGCAGTTATATCTTAGAGTAATTATTTATGCTTAAGATTTAAGAATTATCCACAGCGGTAACACCAGACTTGGAAATTATCCATGCTGACAGTGGTAACATTTGACAGAGAAATTATCCACATTTACATCAGTAACTTTTCCCAGGGAAATTACCCACAATCCCAGCAGTAAATGTTTTCAGGGAAATTACCCACAATCCCAGCAGTAAATGTTTTCAGGGAAATTACCCACAATCCCAGCAGTAAATGTTTTCAGGGAAATTACCCACAATCCCAGCAGTAAATGTTTTCAGGGAAATTACCCACAATCCCAGCAGTAAATGTTTTCAGGGAAATTACCCACAATCCCAGCAGTAAATGTTTTCAGGGAAATTACCCACAATCCCAGCAGTAAATGTTTTCAGGGAAATTACCCACAATCCCAGCAGTAAATGTTTTCAGGGAAATTACCCACAATCCCAGCAGTAAATGTTTTCAGGGAAATTACCCACAATCCCAGCAGTAAATGTTTTCAGGGAAATTACCCACAATGAAGGCAGCAGCAGTTGATAATTTAGCCAAGTTACAACTGTAAAATATTAGCTGGAAATTATCCACAATCCCATCACTAACAGCACACAGAAATTATCTGAGCCCTTTAAATTCACTGCTGCAGTATCATGCACTGTCATTTTGTATCATTCGCTGTCATTTAGTATCATTCGCAGTCATTTAGTATCATTCGCTGTCATTTAGTATCATTCGCTGTCATTTAGAATCAACTGCTGTCATTCATCTCTCTGACTGGCCTTCTCTTTCCAGTTGGCGACTCCAAGTGTTTGTAGGTCTGTCTCTATATTATCTCTCGACTGTCTTCTTGGTCTATCTTGTGGTCTACTTCCATTCAACTCCCTTGTGTATGCAGTCTTAGTAACTGTGCTCTATATGTACGAACCACTGACGTCTATTAACCCTCATGATGCCATTAATTAGTAGTGATCAGGGTTCGTATCCACATCCACCAACTTTTCCCCACACACGATTTTTAAAGTATTTTTTGGCATTTTCAAGGTTGCGCAGCGCATATGAAATGCTTAATTAGTGCATATGTGAATAGATAAACCCGCATATGTAGTAAGCTGATATACACATGCATAAATGTACAGACACATACAAAATATAGGTTAGGTAACAGAGATAGAGCGAATCTGAAGGATTATATTATTAATATTATCAACACTGAATGCATTCCACATAAAAACCAACAATAACGCTAAAAATTCTAATTTGCTTTATATAAAGTAAAAGAATAACAAACAGGTCAATCATTTATCTATGTGTACACCAGAGAGTAATATCAGATGCAAGACAGGGATGAAGAAAAGAACAGATATACCCTAATACGGTTTTTTTTTAAACCCAGAATGAGCTTTCAACAGCTGACTAGTGAAAAATTGTGTGCGTGTACATCTGATCATTGAACATATTATAGCACATGGGCCACGCCAAAATGAAGGAGAGAGGGGAGATATATAAGCAGAAGCAGAAAATAGAACTGGGAAATCCAGCTGACATCTTTTGTTCATTTACCACTTTCCGCCCCAGGGCAGGTATACCTGCCTCCCAGAAACAAGAATGAGTGTTGTGAATGACCATCTTGTGAGTTATTCACGTAACTCAGAGTTGTAGGTCAAATCACATGCTTCCAATGAAGTCTCCGTTCACTGTTGCTGGCCTAGTTACAGTGAGTAAATTTCCAGGATTTTATCAGGGCCCTGAGAGATTTTTCCAAATTCAAAAGCCCACTATGAGCCCTGGGTGATTTAAACAAATTTGTAATTGTGTTGTTGCTTTCAACTCATATCCTAAGCCTAAAAAATATCTATGTTAATATAATTAACTAAACAAAAAGTGTGGTTCATGACATATGGTAAAACAATCGAAACAAATTACACAAAACATTTTCTCACCTGGTTTTGACTTCTTTTTTTCTTCTATCTTTGGGTCTGTTTTTATCTTCTTTTCAGATTCCTCTCCATCCTTTTCCACATTAGATGCCTTTCTTTTTCGCTCCGATAGCTGCCTGGATGCTTCAGTGTTTTTGACATCAGCACTAACAGCCACTTTTTTAATGCTGTTGCCATTTACTTTACTATTTTCTAATGCCGACTCCAGTTTTCCATTTGTTTTAGCTTTTTCTTCAGTTTTCTTTGTGTCTTGTTTCTGCTTGGTTATCTTTTCTGCTGGTTTCTGTATTTCATTTTCTGAGGAAAAAATACCAGTATTAGTTACGACAATAACCAGTTAATTATTTATCATTAGAAGTTTGTATTGAAGCATTCTTCTTCTGCCTAGGCCCTCAACCAACTCACGCCAAGTCATTCTATCTTTTGCTATCACATGCAGCTCTCCCCATGTCCTCCCCATCTTTCTTACTTCATTCTCCAGCTTCCTTCTCTATGTTTTTTTGGCCTTCCTTTATTCCTATGCCCCTGTGGGTTCCAGTGCAAAGACATTCTAGTTATATTGTTCTCCGGTTTTCTCAATGTGTGTCTTATCCAATGCCAGCCTTTTCGTCACCTCTTGGTCCACATAATGAAGCCTACAGGAAAACAAGTCCTATGTTACTGACTCTTGGCAGATATATTGCCACTTAAGTGGCTTCAGAATACATCACGTTCAGACAGATCGCCACTTATGTGGCTTTGCGCATAGACTATTACTGTTTCATTCGCTAGGAAAATAAATTTGTATGAACATGTTTTGAAAAACTAATATTAACGAAAGGAAGTATCATTTTCCAAGCATGGTGATGTGACAGGTTTGATTTTCAATTTGTTAACAACTAACCGAGTGTGAAAACACAATTTATGTGTAATTTTGCAGACTAAAAAATCAGGGAAAATGTCTAGAGCTGTCCATACTGCTGCTGTCGTTGATGAATCCGAGGCAGATAGCGACAATATTGTTGATATTATGATTGATAATGCAAGTACCAAACCTAATGCTGATAATATTGTTAGGATGAAGCTGAAAAAAATTTTTTCAAATGGATATGTTTCGATGAGCTGTGTGTGGAATTTGGTTGTGTGAAACTTGACATGGCACACCCAAAAAAAGCCATAAAATCCAAAGTATTTAGATTAACTGTTTCAAATAAAGACTAGGTGATGCATAAACAGAAAAGGCATGTGATTTCTTAGAAATGGATAGCAGTATTGTTGAACAAGTAAAAAAGTATGATGTAACAAATCTCCATGTGTGTCTAACATACTTGAAAGTTGTGTCATTTTAATAATTTGTTGTAATACTGAAAAATTTAGATGTATTCTGTATTTAATTTGACATATTATATGTAACTACACAGCCAATACTTTTTCTTAAGGAAAGTTTAAACTTTGTCATGGTGCAGCAAATAAAATTAAGCTCTAAATTAACGCTGTTAAAACCCCAGATACAAAATGTCATTCTGAAATAGTTTAGTAAAAAAAAAATTTTTAATAGTATCTCAAAAATTAGAGCTGAAAGAAAAAAATTTGATTACATTCTTGGAATCAGCAACACAAGTTTACCCAAGAACAGCTAGAAATTGTAGGCACCAAAATCTACGTAGACCAGTGCAGTTTTCCAGAGCCTTATACAGAAAAATTGTAACAACATTAATTAAATACACAAATGCCTTCATCTCAGAAACTAGAGCTGACATAAAAATTATGATTACATTTTGGAATCAACAAAAAAATATCAAAAAAGAACAGCTATAAAATATAAGGCAGCAAAATGTATACAGACCAATGTAGCTTTTTATAGAGCCTCATACAGAAAATACTATTGTAATATTAATTACTTGTACAAAGGCTTGTATCTAAAACAAAAACAAGTTTAAAAAAAATCTAGAGCTGCTAGCGACAAATACATGTGATATGATCAACTTAATATCCAACTGTATTCCTACGCTATTAAAACATTGAAGATTTGGTGTCTGGGTTCTATATTTTTGTGTGGAAAAATGACATATGAAGCATCATATAGTCCATATTTGATCAGTCACTTTTACTTTTTGACTCATTAAGCAAGTGGAACTAGTCAAAAAGATATCCTGTCATTGGAATTAAACTTTAGCCTTCCCGTGTGGGTTCCGGAGCCCCATTGTGGGGAAAAACAAGAACAGACCCAATGCCTGCCCAAAAGCATGTCGCAAGAGTCGACGACAAATTAGGAAGTCGGAGTACATCTGCCTGAGCGGCAAGGAACCAACAGTCTGCATGCAGATAAATCAGACATGCCAACAGATGTGCACGCAGCACTCAGTTTCTGAGGCAGGGCTAGAGTCCAGAAGTGGACGAACAACCAGAAATTTCTACCAGAGCTTACAGCGGGTGAACGTGAAGAAGAACTTTAGCCAAGTGTTCAAGGAGACAAGTACACTAATTGGCTCCACAACTTACTGATGTTTGATTCCCCCACCCCTTTGTTAACAAACAACAATCTGAAAAGGAGGTATCAAAAAGCACAAAGGAAGACATACCATGAATGGTGGGGGAAAAAATGGTGATATTGAGGAATGTTATGGACAATGAAGGAAGATATAATAACTATTTTCTTGCTTAAATCATAAAAGAGATAAGAAGTCTTTGAAGAACAGCTGGAGTAACAAGAGAAGATCCAATTTAAAAAATGAATAAATTAGAAGACGAGGACAGAAACCAGTTCATTAATGAGCTACAAATGAGATGGTATGGCCATCTTGACTAGAATGATGAATTTAGAAATGACTTCACAGAACTCAAGACATTCCCATAAGCAGCAAGCCCAGGGTTCGATTCTGATGGCACCAGAAACAGTCTGACAGTACATCCATCTTGCCTTTCTGTTGAGTGTTCACGTCAAAGCAATATCCTCCTCAGACTGATGATCTTGTTGAGCCTCAGCACTGTTCACTAGCTCCCAAAAGGACCTTAAAACATCTAGCTTTTTATGCATCAATTCACCAATTGATGCAGAACCCGCCAGTCTATCTGACTGTTCTTTTCCTAACACACTGGCATGACCTGGAGAAAATATTTAAAGATGCTAACTACCCAGGACCTCCGAACAGCTGCACGGAGCACATATTAATTCACTCTTTTCAACATGCTTTGTGAATCATTTATAATTATTTATTAACCGTCTTAACTCTCTTCTCACAAAGCCAGAACAAGTTGATCCATCCATCCAAAAAAGGATAACCCCACACCGAAAGGAAAGCTACCCCGAGGCTCAGAAACTTACTGAAACAAGATGGGGTGCAGCTGCCAACACTGTTCGCCAAGTAAACACAGGATATGTACGACAAAAAACTGGAGTATGGCATGGGAGCATACTCCACTGCAGCCAAACCAAACCTACACAAACTGGACAAAATACAGAACATTGGTCTCAGAATCATCACTGGAGGTATGAGAAGCACGCTCAGACTTAGAAGAAACTTACTGGAACAAGCTGTGGCACATGCTAACACTGTACGCCAAGTATACACAGGATGTATGACCAAAGAGCATACTCCACTGCAGCCATATCAAACCTACGCAAACTGGACAAAATACAGAACATTGGTCTCAGAATCATCACTGGAGGTACGAGAAGCACACCAATCCATGAGCTGGTGTCAACTTCTGGCCTCCAGAGCTTGAGCCTTCGAAGGGATGAAAAGGTGCTTACCCTAACAAATTTAAACGTATGAACAACAACCCCATGCACAGAATAGCAAATAAGTTAACTAAAAACCGACTGAAAATATAGTTTTCACCATATATACAAATTGTACCACACACAAAAAATGTGACATCATTTCTAAAGATCCTTCAACATGGAAAATGATCCAGGCATACAGCAAAGACCTACAGCATAACTATACAGTCACAAAAACAATTCCAGACAGAAAGGCTGAAGTGACTTAGTACTGCATGCAAAGACCCTTTAACATTTCTACAACTGTTATCCAAAACCCGAATGGACACATGTAAACACAGATGGATCACTGGAGGGTGAAATAAAACGGAGGAGCTGGATCTGTCATCATGCTGCAAGATGGGACCACAGTAGAAACGTCATGCGCCTCCGAAAGACTCACAACAAACTTAGAGCATAGCAGCAAGCAATTACTGATTCAGCCAAAGTGCTCTAGGAAAGAAAAATTTCAAACAGCAAAATTATTTTCCTTTGTGACTGCATGTCAGTCCTCCATGCGACTCAGAAGAGGGATCCCTGTGACAACATGGAGAGAGAACTGACCTGCCAGCTAAACAGACTCGCATAAAACAATCAAATCGTTCTCCAGTGGATCCCAGCTCACTGTGGCATATCAGGAAATGAGCAGACAGACTTGCAAAAAATGGAACAAAGGAGAAACGCCCATTCATTGTCATTACCAGAAATCAGAACACTTATCAAAGGAAAAAACAAGGAACAAACTAACAGTAAACATCCACAAGACCCTATCAGCAAACTCAACAGAAAGCAACATACACAAATTGTATGTTTACGAACAGGACACTGCAGGCTCAACTATCACATGCATAGAATAAATATTGTACAGTACCCACAGTGTGCCTGTCAAAAAGGACCTGAGTACATTCTGCAGACCTGCCAATTCTACATACAACTTCGAAAAGACACCTGGCCTCAAGATTAAGGTGTGCAGACAAGCTATGGGGAACCATGAAGGACCTGCAACTGACATGCGAGTTCATAGAGGCAACCCACCTGATGGTCTACTCTGAGCATACAAAACCGAATGCAAAGAAGAATTAGAATTATGACATGTGCACAGCTAGTTTTAAAACCAGCAGAAGGCTGCAGTGATTGTCTCCACTGCCATGCTCAAACCACATATTGTGGTATCATGCTAGGCTTTGTTGCACTAAGCGACATTTATTCACTTTTGCTACCATGCACTTCTCTAATCACATCACCCGAGCGGGAATTGGCATGAATTATTTGCTTAACTTCTGATTCTGCAGTGCTCAATAGCCATCCCTGAATTCACAGTCCAATGTGATTAGAACCCTACACAAGTCTGATGGTTGTTCGGACACTGACCCACTCCTCACAATATTATGAAGCCTGCACACATGTCTAATTGTGTCTTCAGCGTGCCCCATCCAAGACCTTCCTCTTTTTAGTATGTGACCCTTATCTCTACCTAGGGCTTCATGCAGCAAGTGCTTCTGGTCTGCAGTTACTCTGAAATATGATTTTTCTTGCAGCGTTTTCAGCCTGTCTGTAAAAGTCAGCAGTGCACACATACTACCAGGGTATCTCTTGTACATCCCAGAATTACTCTTGTGGCTTCATTATGTGTTCGAGTTTCATAAGCACTCTTTGATATAGTAAACATTCCAAGTCCATTATCAGCAAGAGGATCACTATGAACAGCATTCTTTGTTCCATGGCCATGCTGTCATAACCTTGAGTGCATAGAGTTTTTGGCCTTTTGTCCCAATTACCTCCACATGATCCCTGAAAGGCAGGCTTCCATCAAAATGTATGCCTAGGTTCCACAGTTTGCTTACTGTTAACGAGAATGCCCTGGTACCAAGTGTTATAGGCAGCCACTCAGAAGAAACATGATAAACACAGAGCAAGGGAAAGGCCATTAAAAATATGGAACAGCAGCATCAAGAATAGAATCAAAGAAATGAAACTTAACTATCTAGCCTGTTCCAACCACAATAGAAAAAAAAAACGGTGCGATACATGAGGAGATATGGACTGCACGATAGCTTTTATAAAGGCCACTGGCCTCCTTATAAAAAGTTTTCTGACATAAGGATAGAAGAAGAAGAACTTATACAATGAATTAAAAAGAGCACATATAAGATCCTGACCCCAAACTGATGAGATATCTACAGTAAGAGCAGAAACATGTACAAATAAAATTAATGTTACTAGACATAACTCAGAAATTCAAATGAACTTGTTTAGTAGTTCTTAACCTCTCTTTTGTGTCTTGGACTGAATTAATGACAGATGGTTATCTTTCAACCACACTTCAGTTTATAACATTAGTACTCACTCTTTTTCATTTTCCTTCTAGTGGCTAGGTCGACATCATCGTCATCTTCGCTTGACATAGCAGATGAACTTGAGAGTTCTCCAACTGCAGAATTCTTTGTTAGCTTTATTCCTGGTTTACTGGTTTCCCCATTCTGATCACCAATTATTTTGCTTTCTTGAAGAGTTGCCAGTGAATCCACACCTTTCTTGAGACTCTGTCTGTCTGTTTCTTTACCTGCAGCTGGGTCTGAGGGACTGTCTCGTTTCTTTCCTTTTCTGTTTCCAGACTTGAACTGACTAGTAGAAGGACTATCAGTTTCCGCCCTGTCATCGTTTCTAACTTCTTTATCTTCACCATCTCTCAGCATTTCATCAGCAAGCTCCTTGATCAAGTCAAACTTGGTATCTAAGTTGTCATCAGCAGATCCCGTACACTGTGTAGGCGAAGATACTGCTTCTTTCTTTATAACTACATCTGGAACCTCATTACATGTACTGTCTTGGTCTGTATGAAGTTCCTTATCTGATGTCTTTTCATTTCTTTTCTCCTGGCCAAGATACGAATTTTCCCTCACAGAGCTCTTCTTTTCAATTATACTACCTACTTTATTAGATTTAATACTCTGTTCTGTCTTTATGTTGGAACTGCCTTTACAATTCTCTTTAAGAATGCTGCTTCCCTCCTTAGATGTTTTAGCAGTTTCTATGCTGTCAACTGCACATTCTGAGTTGTTATTCATATACTGATGATCTTTACCACTCACTTTTGAAAGTTCAACATTAGAAACAAAAGAATCTTTCTCTTTTAACAAACCACCAATTTGTTTTTCTAAACTGCTGTCCTTGCAGAAGTCTTTAGGCTCTTGCTTAACTTCAGGCATATAGCCGGTAGCTGAAGTAGACGCCGAGCAACCCTGCTGCGCGAGAATGGTGTCAATAATATTTCTATTGGAGTGGTGGCTTATGTTTGATCCCATGGGCATAATGAACGGATTAGCAGACAGCCTGGATAATGCAAACGCTTCTGTCGCTGAAAGTGATGATGCAGAACCCATACCACCAAGAGACTGAAGCATGTCTGGCGTGAACATCATATGTGCCATATCATGCATATGCTGAGATCCAGACAAAATGGTTTTCAGTGACTTTATGTAAGTATCTATACCCATATTTAATGTTTTCGCACAGTGAAGCCGCAGCGCATGAAAATTCATATTGGTGGAAACGGAAAACTGAGACTGTGACTGCACTGCATGTAATATCTCTCTGAAAGTATCTGTGGCAATGGCTAGCTTATCTACAACACCAAAAACATTGTCAACTGTCACATTAATGTCTTCTATGCCGAACACGGTACCCTTCATATTACCATTGGACAGAAGTCTGTGACTCATCTCTGTGTGACTTTTTTGACTGGACAATGATGAACCTCTTCCGCCTTCCAAAGATACAGAATTCTTCGGAGCTGAGATCACTCCTGATGCATTCCCAGCTTTTACAGAAGGGCTCGGAGGGAGTAGACTTTTGAACATCTGCTTGCTGCCAGCAGATCTCTCCAATGGTGGTGTGTTTGTGGTGGGGGTTGCTGCCTGTGTCACGGCTTTGGCTTTATCTTTTTCCTGCAGTGCCTTTAGTGTGTCCCGGATCTTTCTGTAATTCTCTCGCAAGTTGTGAAGTGGAGCTTTGTTGCACAAGTAGCATTTCCAGTTCTGTTGACTGTCTGTGAAGTGAAACCAAGCCAGAAGTTAGTTAGATATCCGCAATTAAGAAAGCTTATTACATACACAACACACTCATAACCCCCCCCCCCCCCCCCCAATCCACTGTCTCTCTCTCTCTCATCTACTGCATTCTCAGTAAAAGAGTGACAGGCACGCTATATTGTAGTTTATGGCTAGGGTGTGATATCTGTGCCTTTCAACCTAATCAATACCGCGGGTTTAAGTGAATTTACCTAATTATTCACTTCCTACAACATGCTTTGATAGAGAGCAGTTGGTCTATTATTTGTGTGTGCTCCAAAACTAGTGCTAAGAACTTTTGTTTTGATCCAAGACTTACAATGAATAAGCCTTTTCTATCATTTTAATTTCAGTTGTTATCACTGAGAATTTTCTGTCATAACTTTTGCAATAATCACTGACCATTTTCTATCATAACTTTTGTTACAATCAATCAGCCTTTTCTTCCATAAAATTAATAAACCATATCATAATTTCTACCCCACTTAAACCTTTCCTCTCATAACTTTTGCTTTAATACAATTTATGTCAATAACAATGTATTTTATATCATAATTCTAAAATAACAGCATCTATCTATCTATACCCTCTTTAAGTTGCTGCTGACACAGGGTATTACTTCCTATGTGATGCCCACTGCTGCCAGTCTGCAGCTTTTCAGCCCAGGGCATCCCATGTCATTTTTACATTTCTTCATTCCCCTTTCATTCTCCAGGTTTCCTGAGATCGTCCACGTCTCCTTTTCCCATCTGCGTCCTTCGGAGAACAGTCCTTACCACAAAATGTCAGGAGGCATTCTGCAAACATGTCCAAACCATCTCCATCTTCTTCCTTTGATGACAGTGCCAGAGATAAACATTTTGTTCCCCTCCTTTATTATTCACTTGTGATCTTGTTTAGCCAAAATATTTGCAGGATTCTAGTCAAACATTTATTCTGAAAATTCTCTAGTTTGTGTGTATCTCCTGCTACCATTTTCCAATACTCAGTGTTATATAACAGTATTCCTAAAATTCTGCCCTTGTATAATCTGAGTTCTTGGCTCTGTGGCTAAGCCGATGCGAACGCTTCGTAATGCCAAGTTCGATCCCAGCTGCTGGCCATGCGACTCACTTTGGTTTCGACAATGGTATCAAGGAACCCGACCGTCCAGAAAGCAATGGCAAACTACTGGATGTAAATTTGCCTAGAAAAAAACCACACAACAGCCAGGGGCTGTTGGGGGTTGGTTCTGCTGCATCCTGTAAAGGATACGCAACTAACCTAAATAATCTGAGCTTTGTGTTCAAATTAAGTCCCCTGACTTCCATACAATGTTAAGCATACCAAATGCTTGATTTGCTTGTAATAAAACTATAACACAGAAGAACAGTTTTGCAAAATCTAACACTTTTATTTGTCACTACTATAACAACAACAAAACTTACTGATATTATTGAACTCTGAGCGGTTGAAATTTCTCATCACACAAGCCTTGCAGAATGCACTAGCACAGTCATCACAAACGACAAGCCTGCCACCCTCCCCACACCACCGGCACTGCTCATCTGTGCCATCTTTATCTTTGGCAATTTCATTAGTGGACAGGAATTTCTCACAACGCTGCAAACAATAAAATAAAAAAATCAAGGAACTGCTCTAGGAGTCAAATTCACATTAACAGTAAGGGCAATGTCTTATTTTACGCACCGACTGCCACTGTAACATGTTATGCAATTGTCTGATGGTTAGGCTCTACCTTTTGTGTTTAAACACCGTCATAAACATTTACAGCTGAGAGGATCGACTTCACTACACCAGGTTTTATCCCACATGGCTTGGTCTCTAATACTGACATTCTAAAAGATCTGAACTAAAGGTAAGATTTGCTATTAAACAGCATCTTGTCTCAGAAGCCGAAATATTTTGCCATATGAAAAAATAATAGCAGAGGCATGGTACCAGGAAAGAGGGGTAGGGACGACTAACATAAAGATGGGCAAAGGATATAAGTGACTCCTTGGATATGAAAAGTATGAGGCGGGAGAGTTAGAGAGAGACGGAGTTTATTTCAGGCAAACTGTAATGAAAGCAATGTTCTACAAAAGACCTGCTACATGCTGATGATGGCTTGGTTTCTCTCTGGAAAACGACCAGCTGTCTGCAAACAGCATGGCACAAAACATAAACTTCAGAGCTCCAGAGAAGATTAACCAGGGACTGGCAGTTCATGAAATAATGGATCCATCATCTTTAAAGCACGAGGTAATCGGCACTTCATCAAAATGACACCCCAACTCTTTACTTACAACATTCATTGGTTAGCCCAAAGAAAGAATACTTTTCTTACTTTCTTTCTTCTATCACAGACAGTTGCTACAATTAACTACTGATTTCAGAACTGTTTGTTAACTATTTCATCAGACTCAAACTTCGGCTGGTCTGATATACAAGTTTTCAAAATACAGAGTTAAAGAAATAATTACTGGCTGGTACTGTAGAAGCTATGAGTGATTTGGCAGCAGACTGTTTTGTTTTTATTTCAACAAAGGTATTGAGAGCTGACCGTTCAGAGGCAATAGTAAACTAGTGGACGTAAAATTGCCTATCGCAACCAGTTACCCCCCCCCCCCTTAAAACATCCTGCAAAAGATATGCAACCAACTTAACTAAAGGAGTTAATATGGTCAAGTAAAATGAAAACAGAAAGGACAGCAACAGGTAAGAAAAAATCTATACAGTGGTACCTCAGAAATCAAACACTTTAAACAACTTAGAATCTGAATACAATTTTCAAGAAACTTTACCCCAGAACTTGAACACTGCCTTGGAAACTGAATACATGGCACATGCAAGCCATGCACTATCTCACAATTCAGCCTAATTTTGCCGGCTATTGCGAACGTGTCACGTCCCATAACCTCATGCAACTGAGCTGACAATGTGATTTCACCATCAGCAGAAATTTCATTAAGGGAGGAAGAGGAGGAATTTTTAAGGATTAATGAAAGAATGAATCGATCAAGAATTGACAAAACGACACTCTGGACATTCCCACACCTGCTCTATCCCCTTCTTCAGTAACTAACGAAGAGTTTACATTCTAATAGTAACTGCTGCAACCTGATTAAAAGTCTGCCTTTCCCCTTCAATGATGAATACAGGTGTATCTTTCAGAACCTCTATTCACCACTTCCTGAATTAGTCTTTCGGCGTACAGATTCCCAATCTGTTCTTTTGCACTGTTGATTTGACACTATAGAGCCTTCACCACATCGGCTTTATCATACAATAGCTCACCACCCAGAGGAGCGGCAGTGCTGATCTATCCATCTGCTCATTACCTCGCACATCTGAATATCCAGGACATAAAATGCATGATATTCTCTTGATCCTGGTTTCATCAAGTGATGCAAATCTCTCTGACCGCATGACAAAAGTTTCAATTTTCTGAAGCATGCTCTATGAATCTGTTACAATCACAACATGTCGAGCTGTGCTGTTCTCAAGCTGCGGTTACTGCCTCCACCTCCATTTTCTTACTGCATGTAGCAACGTTGTATATGAGGCTCTGTTTTCAAGCAGTGTGCATTCACCTTTGCAATAAAACTCCAAACACTCTTATTCAATTGAATATGGCCTGCAGAGGCCTAGCAAGAGTCGACGGATCAATGCCACCTGCACTGTATTAACAATCTTTCTAAGCTGAGGCTTGGGCCGCTGGCCAGTAACGATCCCCATTGTCAACATTTTGGCCCAAGAGTAAACTTAGCATACGATAAAAACACACAAAAAACTCACTTTACAAATGGCAACCTTCAATGTGGGATGTTTCTGTAGTGCACCACCTTTGTAAGGGTTCACCTGTCGCCCACAAGCTGTGCAACTCACATTGTCTAAGACTGAAGTGTCAATTCGCACAGCAGCTGAAACAATATGATTCATTTCTATGAACCTTCATACTCTAATCAAACTCACCTTGCTTAGAAATTCAAATAAAGTATTAATTTTTTTACATGAGAATATCTATTAAAATATTTATTAAGCAAACTTATTAAAATATATTACATTCATTACATGAAGTGATTCTTCTTCTGCTCTCATTTTCCTAAAGACCCTAAGCCCTTATTTTACTTATGCTAAGCTGCTATCCTTTCCGTTGCCATCTCATTATATCCACTGCCATCTCGTCCTCTCCTTTACCGTCTCACTGATCTCTCTCCAAGTCCTTCTTTCCTCATCTAACTCTGATAACACCTATCTCTCTCTCTCTCTCTCTTTTTGTTTTGGCCTTCTTTACCCTTTAATTTTCTGGCCCAGTAGATATAGCACCAGAAAATCTAGTCATAATATATAGTGTTTTTTTTATGTGTCCTATCCTACAACATGGTACTTCCCAAAGCTTTTGTTTATTACAGTTACAGCATAACCTTTCACAAAGACAGCCATGTGGGCAACAATACAATCACTCACCTTCACGTTTCTTTTTGATCTGATTGTCTTCAACAGGTTCTGGCTGTACAATAAAAGTACCTGGTAACAGTGAATTTATTTTCATTAAATACTTTACTANCTGTTTTAAAAATCTTTCAACCTGAGGTTTGGGGCCCCCTTTGGGCCAGTACATCCCCTTGCCCAACCTTTTTTTCCCCCCAAGAGTAAATTAGCAAAACGAAAAAAACCACAAAAAACTCACTTTACAAAGGGGAAACCCTTCAATGTGGGTTTTTTTAAAGTGACCCCCCCTTTTGAAAGGGTTTTTTTTCCCCCTTGTCCCCCCCACAACTTTTGAAAACTCCCTTGCCCTAACTGAATTTCCCCTTCGCAAAAAGCACTAAAAACCAAATGATTCTTTCTATAAACCTTCAACTCAAAATCAAATTTCACCTTGCTTAAAAATTTCAAATAAAGTTTTAAATTTTTTTTACATAAAAATTTCTTTTTAAAATATTTATTAACAAACTTATTAAAAAATTATATTACTTAAATTACTAAAGTGATTCTTCTTCTGCTCTCTTTTTCCCAAAAGCCCCTAAGCCCTTATTTTATTATGCTAAGCTGCTACCCCTTTCCGTTGCCACCCCCTTAAAATCCCTGCCACTCGTCCCCCCTTTTCCGTCCACTGATCTCTCTCCAAGCCCTTTCTTTCCTCATCAAACTCTGATAACAACCTATCTCTCTCTCTCTCATTTTCTTTTTTTTTTGGGCCTTTTTAAACCCTTTTAAATTTTTTCTGGCCCAGTAATTGCCCAAAAAACTAGCCCAAAAATATATAGTTTTTTTTTTTATGTTTCCTACCCCAAACATGGTATTTCCCAAAGGGCTTTTGTTTATTACAGTTACACATAACCTTTCAAAAAAGACGGGCCATGGGGGCCAAAAATTTAAAAACCCACTCACCTTCACTTTTCTTTTTTGATCTGTTTTGTCTTCAACGGGTTTCCTGGCGTACAATAAAAGTACCGGATATTGTTAAAAGGTGACAATTTAGAACTTTCTTAACTTGGATGTATTTGGGCAAAAAGCACAAATATCACAGCCTAGCTGCAGCTACGATGTGCCTTGCCCTTATAAGGGAGAACTCAAAAGAGGAAGTGATTATTAAGAACCGTCATCACTGTACTCCGGATAGATCCATAGGTGTTTATCTCATCCCTAACAGCTCGATAAGCCATTCTGTGTTGACTATTTAAACATCTTGTGTCCATTGTGAATCGTTCCTCTCTGGCAGCACCCCCCCCCCCCATATTCACCAATCTAAACAGTAACATTTATCACTGTAATTATCTTTGCGATATTCATCTCACAAGGCAGTGATGACAGTTTCTGTTCTTTGTTATCATCATCATCATGTAGCAGGTATTTTGCAGAACGTCGCTCTTACCACGGTCTGCCTGAAAGAAACTCTTGCCAGTTCTCCAGCCTCGTGCACTTTTTATATCCAAGGAGTCACATATCCTGAGTCCATCTTCGTGTTGGTCAACCCCTGCAACTCCTTCCTGACACTATGCCTTTTCTATTATTATTATTAATTTGTTTTTCAATCTGCCATGAAGCTTGATAAGACCAAAATATTTCAGCTTCTGAAAGAAGATGCTGTTTATTAGCCAATCTTTTTTGATGTTCAGATCTTTAAAAATGTAAGTTTTTCTTCTCTTGTTTGTCCATGGTATTGTGAGAATCTTTCTATAACCTTTCAGCTTAAAAACCCTTATTTTCTTAATTAAGGACTGGGAGGTAATTCAAACCCTACACTGATATGTTGCTACAGGGAAGATAGCGACATCCGAGGCTCAAGGCGTTGCGAGTCCAACTTGTAATTCCAACCTACAGAGATCGAAACCCACTGCTGGCGGCATGGATTTTTATCATGGTATGGGGCGCAGGTCGAACCAGCCTAAAATAGGTACCAGGATGTATGTCCTGGGAAAGTAAGGACGGCCGGCGTAATGCTGACCACATTACCCACTTAGTGCCAATTGGTCTGTAAAAATATGGGTGCTCTTCCCATATGCCTGTTGTGCCCAAAGCGTGAAAAGGGATCCTTACTTTACTTACAGGGAAGATGCAGGCTCTCAACACTTTGACGTTGATTTCCTTGCTGGTTATTAAACAAAGACTTTTAATGTTGTTTAATCTTTGCATTGCTATGGCCATCCACCTTTTAACTTATGTTGAACAGTTTCCAGTGCTGTTTATTATGGAACCTAGATTTTCAAAGTTTCTGACATTTTCTTCATCATTTACTGTTACTTTTGGGTGACAGCCAGTTATGCCCGTGGACATTTTTGTGTGTGGGTCAGGCAAGTCATAACAACCATGAAAGAAAACCATGGCAAACCATGATCAAAACCGTATCACAGCTCTACTACGAAGAATCGGAAATTAATTAACAACCACAAAACAGTGAATAAAGAAAATCAAGTTACAGAAAACAGAAAAAAGAAGCTGCATGACTTTTCCTTCTCTCCTTTTTCACAACCAACTCACATCAAGTTGTCCAAACCCCTTCTGATCATGTACTACTCACCTGAATCTCTAAATAGCTTCCAGGTTTCTTAAATCTGCTTTTATGTCCTCTCAACTTCCACATTTTACCCTTTTCAGAACTGACTGCAACAAGCAGTTTCCCATTACTCCCAGTAATTTACATAAGTGATGCCACACTCAAGAGGGAGAGGTGAAAGGTGGTGTCTGAATCATGGTCTCCCTATGTGGACTTTGGGACCCCATTTTGTGGGGGGAGGGGGGGGGGGAAGAGAAAGACCCACCACCTGTAACAAGCAGGTCGTAACAAGTGACTAATTAGGAGTTTGCTGAAATCAGAAGCACTGAAAGGCGCACATATCAGTCTAGCTGTAAACTACAACACAGTGTGCCAACTATCCCTTTAAGGGTTATCACACACAAAAAAAGAAGAAGAAAAAAATCATCTACACTAAAAGACAGAGTACATAAGAACAAGGACCACTTCTGCTTACCTTCTGGTAAATCATCTGGTACTCCACTGTCAAATGTTCCAGGCAAATTATCAACTTCATCATTGTTGATACCAACATCCTCCATATTATCAGCTACTGGGTCATCTTCATCACCGCTGTTAATTACTTTTGAGTTTTTCCCTTTCAACTGAATGCGGATTTTTCCTGGCATTTCTGCTTTCCTAGAGAATGAATGGCCAACATAATTATACCCATAAGACAATATACAAAGTCATTGCACTAGATCAACTATTTTTGTCCAATGCAACTAACATAAAACTTTCACATTATAAAGGTTGAACAAAGGTCGACCCAAGAAGGACAATCTTTTTAAATATAGCTGCCTTACTATGACATCCAATCAAAGATGCAACAGAGATAAGAAACAGTGAAAAGAATTATACTAGGAGCAATGTTAAGACAACCACTGAACTGTCACATGGGAAAGGTGTCTGTCTACATCATAGATTTGACAGCTGTACAACTATTGATAAACGGGTGAAGAAGCTGGGTGTAGTGGAGGTGTGTTTTTCGTTAAATTTTTTTTTATATATGACAAGAAGAAAACCAACACTCTCAAGCTGCAGGTACTAATTAAAACCATACGGTACATAAAGATGGAATCAAGAAAATAACCTTATTTAAGAAATAGGTAAGAAAGGCAGTGGACAATAGAAATATTTATGTGAAAAGTCTAATGCAGTGTCTCCAACGTGGGGGCGGGCCGCCATGAAGAGGTTGTGGTGGGGGGGGGGGGGGGGGGGGTGGGGGGGGGGGGGGGGGGGGGGTGGGGGGGGGGGGTGCTGGAAAGCAATTTTGAAAATGGATGATTCTGAATTTGTAATAATGTTATTTTTTTTTTCAGTTTAATTTTGAACAAAAATATGTTTCTTTTTTTAAAACAACACAAGCCAAGGACATTTTTTTTTTGCAAAAAATGAGCAGCTCATATTTCTAGCTAACATTCTAATTAATATAATACAGGCATTTAAATACAGATTAAGAACACATTCTGACCAAAACATATCTCCATAATGTCTGTTTTCCATGTTGCGGAATCTACTGTCCTCTTCTTTTTAACAAAAAACATTTATTCACATTTTCTTATGCTGGAAAGGGGTGGGGGGTCCTGCCATATATTCAAGGGGTGTGTAGGGGTCTTGCCATATACTCAAGGGGTGCGTGGGGGTCTTGCCATATACTCAAGAGGGAAAGGGAGGGGATCTTGCAGGGGCATGCCCTTAAAAAGGCTGGAGACCACTTGACTAAATAACATTCTTTAAAACAATGATTTAAGTAACATTAAATGTATGGAAAATTTCATCAGACAACTGAGAGGACTGAAGAGTCCTGAACATCAATGTCTGCTTCCAACATGGTTACAAAAGATTTTTTTTGAATTATAGCTACTCCTGGAGGCAGAGAACAATCAGCAAATATCCAGATATCCAAATCAACAGGCCAAACAGAAGGCAGTACAGCTCAGTTTTTCCACTGAGTACAGGGTGCTGCAGATTTAACACATACATGCACAAAATAAAGGCTGCACAATCTGTCCAGTGTCCCTGCTAAACCTCACCCCCAAACACCTGAGCACATGCTGCCCTCTACAGCTGGAAAACACATGGCCTGTGGGATGAGGCATCCAGGGCAAACTTTGAGGAGCCCTTGAAGATTAGCTGCTGATGTGCCAGTTCATAGGGAGACAACACAACTGATGGCCTCAGCATGACACAAACAAGAAGACACTAGCCAGAACAAAATGCAACAAATGAATAAGACCATTTCCAACTAAAAATTGTGGATTTCTGTCCCTTATGTAAAGACCCTTCTCACAATACTGGTGCACTAGGTTTATGATTTTAGACATCTTTTATAGACCAAACAGCAACTGGATGATGTGGGGGATATCCTACTGGCCAGCTCTGCTTTTTAGATATTTTCTAGCACTCCTAGGGTAAGTCAACACAGGAGTTCAGGTCAATTATTTTAAAAACCCACCTTGATGTGAATTTGAACCCAAGACATTGGAGCTGGCAATCAAGTATCTACCCGCAATGCTACTATTATGGTTCTCCTAATTTTCCATGGGTCATTAATACACATAAAAATGTAAAAGACTTACCTTCTAGAAGAACCACTTCTGCCTGTGGCCTGAAATAAAGAAAATATATAATTACCATAAATTTTGATGTATATAATGCGAAATAATTTTGCACTTAAGATGTTTACAGTCACACAAATGTCCACACATGCCATTATCTGCTTTTTTTTCCTTAGCGCTCACAGGTTGTAAACCTGGGCAGAAAGTTTGTTTTTTCGTCCACTTCTCAACTTTAGGCTTGTTCTAGAATTAGAGTTTTGCGAAGGCATAAATTTTACAGATATGCCTTATCTGTGTGCAGATTGCTGGTTCCTTACCATGCATTTTAACTTTGAAGGAAACATCCCAAATAGTCACCCCCAACAACAGCTTGTTAGGGTACTATGCCCCCCATTCCCGTGCGCAATGAGGCTCTGGAACTCACAGAGGGGGCATGTGAGTTTAAAGCTTTCTTCTTAAAATCATGAATTTTTTTTTCTGATGCAGTCGTAATTTTCTGTTTTCCTTAGATCAAGAGGTTCCAGGACCTCATTTGGAAGGACCTGGGGGAGAGAACGGATCAAGGGTCTGCTGAAACTGGATGTGTTAAGAAAAAAAAAGTGCAGATACAAGTTGCAATCCGGCCGTAAACCAGTGGTAACAATCGTTTTAACTCTTTAGGTACCAAATAACTTGTTATATATTTCTTTGTAATTCCCACCATAATGTAACAGTTTCTGCTCACAGACAGAAGTTGTATCAACCCGCTATGTCTGAACTATTAGTTTACCCTTTTTCGGTTCCACACCGTCTCAGTTATGACTCCCAATCTCTACTTCTTGGAACAATGATGCTTCAGATGGAAAGAGTTGAGATCAAACACAGGAGTTTATATGATCCAGTTATACATAGTACACTTTAGTGTCCTTTTATATGCCATTAAATCATTGACAATCATAAATTGTGACTCAGAATTGTATCCCCAGCAACCATGGGCCACTGTTCAAACAAATTTTAAATTAATATACAATTTATCTAAACATTTGAACACTGCAGGACTTTTTTTAAGAGTTTGGGCAGCCACAATAATTATCAAAAATTATTATGTTTCCATTTCTACCTTTAAATTTTATATAAAAGTGATTCAGTTTAAACAGACTGGAAGCAATAATAGTTTGAAAATCATATTTATTAACATGACATGACAGGGAGGACTGGACGGTCATGACAGTCATCGTCTGATCCAGACAACACACTGAATTTACAAGAAAACAGTTTTTAACATGGCAACTAGTGATTGAATTAAAAAACATGCATACACTTTGCTTAACTGCCAAAATTGCTTAGATATTCCAAAAGAAGTATTAGTCTAGCCATTAATCCTGCTAGCCAGGATAATGTTCACGCATGACTTTGGAAGAAAAAAAAAAGCAGAGAACCTTTTTATACCAGTGGCGCAACAGGAACAGATTGCTGACGCCAGAAACACATTTCTATAGACCAATCAGCACTTGATAAGATACAGTCAACATCATGCATGCTGCCTTTCCTTTCCAGGCTATTTCCTGGTACCCATTTTAAACTGTCAACCTCAAAATTGTTTTTTAAATCCATTCATTTCGAATTCAAACTGAAGACTTTCCGGCTGGCTACCACGGCTCTTGCATATGATGGTTCAAAGGTAAAAGCAGATACTGGCGTTAGGCTGTAAAGTCTTCTAATCCGTTTCATGTGGCATTGACAGTCATGTCTATCCACAGCCTTCTGTCTCATGTAGTTTCAATCAATTCTAACACAGAGGATCTGCTATGCCATGGTGTCACACTGTCCAGCATCTTCTCTCTCGTCTTCCTCTGTCTTTTTTCGTCTAACTTTCCCACCGTCACTATGTACTCTAGTTTTCTCTTTCTCATTACATGACCAAAGAATGCAGATTGTCTTCTTCTTAAGTCTCTTTATGAGTCAGTTTCTTTCAAGACTGTGTGAGGAAATGGATGCCTATTGGCACAATGGCTGGGACAAACAACCCAGTATGGGCACAGCTCTAAAGGAAAGAAACTGTCATTACTGTTTGTGATGTATTAGGCCTTCATGTATTCCCTGTCTCATTGACTTTTCCTTCCCACACTAAAACCACCTTGTAATGTTTAATTAAATATAAATTAAATAAATAAAACTCATGTGTGTTTAAGAAGCCAGACCATTGTGTACAAATTTGGGAATGGGAAAGTCAGATCGGGTTCATTAGCAAGATGTGCCAATTTTACATCTCTTTACCACTCATTTGGCCTCTGATGCTAAACCAACTTGGACTCAAAGAGCTAACCCATTTGATACCAAGCAAACCATCTTACGTTAATTTGGGACTTCTTTAAGACCAAACATTTTTTTTTTTCGGACAGTGTTATAAGAGTCAGTCAGACTTTCTTCAGAAATCACTTTGGCTCCAAGATCTTCCCAGCTTTAAATAGTGGCGTGATGTTGGCCATATCACCCACCAAGTGCCCACAGGTATATAAAATATAAGTCTAGCCTATATACCCAATAAATCTGAAGACGGGCTATTGGGACCTATAATACAAGAATCACACATGGAAAGAAATGGGAGACTCACCACATAATATCCCCCCATCTCCCTCCCCTGACAGCAAGAGAGGTACACTGTAGCCAACCTATTATTTTATTAAATATTTAAATATAAAACAGAAATAAAGGTAAAAAAGTCAAGGACCCTTTTCCATGCCTTTAAGGTATACTGGATATACTGTACAGGGTAGTGTTTCCCAAACGTTTCTTAGTCGCTGCACCTTTTTCAATTACAATTTTTCCTTACCCTTACCTATGTAAAAGTATGACTATTCTTATGTAAGAGATATTCAAATATTTTGCGGCGCCCCTGTGAAGAAGTCGTGGCTCCCCGGGGCGCGGCAGTGCTGTTTGGGAATCACTGGTATAGGGCTAGACCTATATTTTGTAGACCAACCGGCACGGCACTTGGTGGATTGATGTGGTCAGCATCACGCCGGCCGCCTTTACTTCCCAGGACTGCACCTGCTACCCACTCAAGGCTGGGAGAACCCGGAGGCAAGATCATTTTTGAAAAAAATCTGTCCTTAGTCAAGATCCTTCTGATCCAGAGGCTAGTGTCTAGACGCTAGACCATAGCGGTTCAAATAAAAAAGAAATGTGATATCCTTTCATATTAAAATTGTTTGCCCTATACCCAACAGAATCAAAGATATCAACTGCAATTCCTCTATTACCTCAATGCTGGTAATAATAAATAATGATATGGTAACAGAAAAGTAAAGGATCCTTTTCCCCACATTCATCCGCAAACAAAGGCCTAGAGGCTATCCTACGGCGGCTGCCAAAAAACAATGGTACTGAAAGTTAGTTTTTGGTTAAAACTGTCTCCCAAGGATGCCCAAACTCAGCTTTTCCATCTCTGCCACATGCCTGTAAAGGTCCAGAAACCCTATGACCACTTTAGTTGAATGCTGACGTTTCTTTTTGTGCCTGTGTAACATGTAAGAGATTTTAACTCTGCCAGCAAACTTATTAACTGAAAGCAATAAATCCTGGCTAAGTAGAGATACACCAGTGAATGACACTTCAACTGAAAGTAGCAAAAACAATGATGGAGGTGATGTGGGTACATTTTAAAAAATAAATTGGCATGGCAGAAGAGACCAGAACATTTCTACAGTTGAAAATGCTGTCTGGAAATGGAGAAAGGCTGCTCAAAATGAACTTGTTGAGCTTGACAATCTTTATCCAATAAGCTACAACACTCAACTTTAGGAACAAGATCACAGCAAAGATGTTCAGGCAGAATGTCGGCCAAGCTGTTTTTGGACCGACTGTTCTTCGGCACTATGTAAGACCTTCAAGATCCACAAGCCAAAACTTAATGAGTGCCATTTTATTGAAAAATATGAAAAGCCGATGTACGAACCAGACTATAAAGTGTGTAAGGTTGCAGGTAAGAGAAACTCTAAAGATCTCTGCAAAAATCTCAAAACACCCTTGTTAATGGGAGACAGTATGCACCGGATAGCTCATCAGCAAAGTGTTAAAGGATTATTTCTGATATTTCCCCACAAGGACAACCTATTTTCTAGCATTCTCGGGGCGAAAGGTTTAAAGTAGAGAGGACTGACTTTATACTTCATTAGATTAAACACTGTATAGCTATATTTTTATACAGTTTAGTGTTTCAGGTTTCTTCTTAATACAACATGACAAAAAAACGACAAACTCTGCTTACTGCCATGACAACTGTTCCAAAGGTGCTGTCGTTTTCACTTAGAGGTACACATCATTTACCTGGTAAAAATATAATAATGACATTGAAGATAACCCAAATATTCACTTTCCATAAGTGAAATTGTGATCTCACTAAATAAAACCTCTAGCTGTAAACACACACACTGTGGCTCTCCTTCCCCTTTCTCTCTAAATATAAGTCGTGATTGCATTCTTTGTGTCTCATTTTCCTCTGGATTAAATAAATTCCCTAATGAAGGCGTTTATGTTGTTTTTAAACTGGCCGAGGCAGCCAACACCCACCATACTTTATGTCCCATTCCATATGGTTGATAGGGTGCTGCATTACTATTTTTTCTTCTTCTTAGAGCCCTGGTGCATGGGCAACTACAGACTGTAATTACATTCTGTCCGATTCTCTTAACCCTTTGGTGACAATGCAGCCAATTGTTCAGCTTGACACAAAAGAGCCAAAGGAGCTGATCGGTCAGCCCTATATAATTCAAGCCTTGAGATTGGCTGACAACTTTTTTTATCAGCCAATCAGATTGCTTCTTGCATTTCCTGGAAATGTGGGTTCTTCAATGACGGCTTTCGAGAAAGTTTGATGTGTTGTGTGATTTTACATCAATTTTTGTTGTTGTCATATGTGGGGTTACCTGCTAACAAAGGACTGTTGCATCATAGCAACCAAACAAAGCAGGAGGCAGGAAAAGGAGTAGAATGAATCATGTGCCAGAAGTGTCTAAAGGGCTTCCATGGACCTTACTCCCCAAAACACCAGTTTTAGGATTTATTCTGGCTTTATATGTCAAAAAATGCACCCAAATCGTTAAGGTTAATCATTTTTGTTCCCTAGTTTTAAAAAAATCCTTGCATAAATTATGCAAATTAGAATAGTTTATTTTGTTGAGATTTCAGTTTCATTCATGAATATTCTGTTTATCATCATCTCGTTACACATGTTGTTGGGTCACCTGTTTCAGCTCTCTGTCTGGTTAGCTTTCTCCACCTTTGGGGGTCAGTTGTGATGGACGGTTGCATGCCTGAGGTGTGTCCAGTCAGTCAGGTTCTGTAACCAGGTCTTTCTTGGTCGGCCTCTTCTACTCTTTCCCTCTACTGAGCCCTGCAGTATTGTTTTTGAGAGGTCGTTGGATCTTATTAGATGTCCATACCATTGCATTTTTCAACTTTGCACTGTAGTTAAAAGAGGTTCATAGTTGCCAATGCGCTGTATAATTTTATGGCGAACTTCTTCGTTTGTAATGTGGTCTCTGTATGATATGCCAAGAATTTTTCTGAAACACTGCATTTCTAATGCTTGTATCTTTCTTTCAAGTTCAGCTGTTAAGGTCCACGTTTCACAGCCATATGTAAATGTGCTAATTGTTAGTGCTCTGAGCAATCGAATCTTAGTTTTGCATGAAATATCTTTAGATTTCCATGTTTGCTGCTTGGCAAGGACTGATGTTGTCTAGGCAATCCTAGACTTAATTTCTGGTCTTGACCCCAAGTTACTTAAAATGAATCCTAAATATTTGAAATGAGTGTATCCGATCTATTTGTCAACAGCATGGTGCATCTCAGGCAGTATTTCAACCCAGGCGGGGCTCACTCCTCTCCAGGTGGCCATTTCCCCGTTAGCCTGTATCTTCATGGGTACAGTTTTCAATCTGCACCTCGGGGAGGTGTGGTTAGGGGTGCGATCATGGGGCAGCAGTAGGCTACTAATTGTCTCTTTTCACCTTCCAAGGAAAGCTGGCTGCCCCCAACACTACTGGCTGAGGTGCCAGGTGTGACCACACTTTCTGTTAGCTCATTTAATTTCCTACACTAATATATATACACACACACACACATATATATATATATATATATATATATATATATATATATATATTATATATATATAGTTTTGTATATGCAAAATGCTTTATTTTGTTTATAATTTGTATGTGTGTAAATTAAGAGAATCCACTCGTGAAGGCTCTGTCTTTTGGGCACTAAAACTCTAAAAATACTTTACTAGGTTGCCAAAATGTGAATCTCCAAATGTATTTTAATTTTGATGTTTTGTGTGGCGAGTTAGTATTCTATCATTTATAACAATATGCTGGGGAATATAGAGATTCTCTAAGAGAGCTACCTACCTTAACACATGACAGGACATAGGATAAATCTTTTACAGATGATACAAATAATACTAAATGAGTTAAAGTAAAGCTGTCTTATCGAATGAAAACCTGGCAAAATCATCAAAATGCATCTCTTTAATTTATAAATTCATACAATATTTGAATTCTAATCTTGTAACAAGCAATCAAAATGTTTTTAGTTTTATTTCAGCCTTCCAATTCCCCATTGTTTTCCTAATATGGAAATGGAAATATGCTTTATGATGGAGCCCCAACCAATCAATCAATCAAAGAAATCTTTCATCTTATATTATTCTTACCCAGGCACAACGTACTATTTTTTTTAAAGCCTAACTAGTAAAAATGTGTGCTACCAATACCAATTCAAACTGCCACCACCAAATCTCACATTCTAAAATGATTGATCTGATTGAGCTCACGATGATATACTTTAGAAAAAAAAAAGGCCATAACCAGACAATTAACAAGACCCCCATATTGAACAAAGGGCAAACACATTTTTTTTTTCTCACGACCCCAAACCAACAACTACAACAGGCAACTCCACGACGCCTTGATACCGATACCACTATTATTACTGTCATGCCCCACGCACCAGCATGCAGTCAATAAAACATATACTTCAAACACTATGATAAATAAATCCACAAGTTCTAATCCGGTTCGCTAAGATAAGAGCAGCACTTTCCGCACTGGTAAGGAGGTTCTATTTTTAACACACCGTTTCGGTCTATCAGTCCCCCAGTGAAGTAGGTCTTTCCGCGAAACCTTTGCCGCGCCAAGTCGATACCGGGGAGGCTTGTGACGGCTGCACCACACGATAACGGTAGATTATGGTACAAGGTCTAGACCGACGTGTCGTCACGTTTCAATAAATCTATACACCTATTATGGCGGAACAAAAGTTTTTTCTCTTACTGATAAATGAAATAATCCCTCCAGAAAAGCCGAACATGGCGTCGCATAAAAATACACTGGTCACGTGATGGCCTCGCTTTAAAGTAAAATTAACATAATTTATCCTGACATGATTTGCATATCATTTACATATATTTGCATTAATTGAGACATCATTTAGTTTTGGTGATCAATGTAATGTTGTATCTATGTTAACTTTGGGCTATGTTGAAACATACCTGTGGGGGATTTCCCTGTTTCAAGCATCAGGTGTGCTTGAGGTATAGAAGAGTTAATTATAAGTTGTGCCCGTACTTTATTTGAAATGCTTCTTTCAATACGTGTACTATCATTTGCAGTTTAATTATATGTAAAGCTGTAGTTGCATTGGGAGACACGTCAAAGCATTTAATTCTTTTTTAAATGACACTGGCTGTTTGTTTCTGAGTATACGCAGGTATGCATCGTATACGCGCCTTTATTTTTAAACTCGACTACGTTATTTTTTTTTTTTTTTATTATTATTATTATTAACATATATTTTTGAGGTCGTTATAACATAAAAACCCCTTTGCATATTTATAGTATAAGTAAAAAAAATAAAGACCCTTTCCCCCGCCTTCAGGCTCATTGGGCATAGAGGGTTAAACCTATATTTTATGGTCCGATCGGCACAAGGTATGTCATATGGTTAGTATCTCGCTGGCCGCCTTTACTTCTTAGCATTTTACTTGTGCCCATTTAAGGCTGGGTCTACCTGGGAGCCAAGGTCAATGTTAATAGTATACTCATCTATTTTGAGAAAAAGGGGAGGGGGGCTGGGGAAGAAAGCAGGAAACCAACATTTAATCATCCCAGACTATTTTATTTTTATTTTTTCCCCTCTAGGAGAAAAGATAGGAAGCAGACAGGAACACATCTCAAAATCTCTGTTCAACCATCAAACCATTATGCGAGGGTTACCGGCTGCTTCCAAATAACCCGAAGTCCAAGTTAGGATGGGAAGATTGTCGTCTGGGACTAAATTATTTCTGTTGACTAATAGGATGGGTGTTTAATTGTATACAACTCTGGTTGTTACGGTGAGCAGTGTAAATCAATATATGACACGCATTTTGACTTTCCACTAGTTATTATACTTCTAAGGTAGGACTGGACAGAAATCATAATTAGAGTTAACATCGCACTTGTTTATCAGGAGGAATGACCTTGGCTCCCATGTCGACCCAGCCTTAAATGGGTACGAGGTAAAACTTCCTGGGAAGAAAAGGCGGCCGGTGTGATATTTACCTCATCACCCACCGAATGCGGATTGGTCTACAAAGTATAGGTCCAACCCTATATGCCCAATACCATTGAAGGAGTGGGAAAGGTTCCTTACTTTATTTGTTACTTTATCAAGAAGAGTTACTTGTGATGACGGTTCAGTTGAAAGTATGTTAAAATTATTTCCCTTCGATTTCCTTTCTAGCGAACGGCGCATTTGGAATGCAGTAATTTCCCCATTTCTTTTTTTTTTTAATATCATTTAGCTGTCTTCTCTGTCATTCCAGTGGCACACTTGTCATTTCGCCGGTAACATATCTTATATGTAGGAAATAGCTCATTAGCATCATCTTCTTCTTCGATATCAATAGTAATTTTCGTTTTGAATAATATATTGCTGAACCCTCGGGGTCGAACTTGAGATTCAGCGTGTCCATTGTAATTTATGACATAATTATGTCTAGTCATCCCTTTGTGGGATGCAATTTGTGGTTATTTTGAAGCCTCACCCTGGCTCTTGCCAGGTTCCGTAATATAGCCCGACCATAAATAAGGCCTAATGGCTAAACGTGGTTTCCGGGACTTCTCCACGGGTTATCCTCATCCATATGGTGTCACTTTGTGTCATCGGGTGTTTATCGCTTGAGTGATGTCCTGGTGGGGTAAAATGTACCTCTAACACTACTAT